TCTGCTGCTCTTACCTCAAATGACCTTGGCACAGCTTAGACAGCATCCACCAGGTTTGACCCTGATGCAGATCTCACTGAAGGAAAGAATCTGCTCAGTGTCACTGGGATAATGGGACAAATACCCTTAAAGCCTGTAGCTCTGATCCCTTGGCTATCTACTTTCGGTAATCAGATTCTGGAAAGCTCTTACTGTAAGTTGTGTCTGTACTGCTTGGAGTAAGCAATCCTTTGTAGTGGGGCTAACAGACTGAATGCACAGCAGAGCAGTAATAAGGGCCCCCTCAAGTCATCATTTTGAAGAGGCAAATGATTTAGCCCAAAGCTCATCAGAACTACATTGAGCTCAAAGGAAGTAGGTGGGGAGAATCAAAATGCACTTTGAAATCCTTAGTTTCTTTTATATTTTTGACACAGAAGAAGGAGAGTAAGGGAAGATGTTCAGCACTATTGAGAGCCATGGACACGAGGCTAGATTATGACATAATTATCTCATAAAACTCTGTTGTGGTCTTTCACTCCTATGAATTTTCAAATAACACTGCAGTAATTAATTCCTATTTAACACATCATTGTTTCTCATTTCATTTTGGATTTACTTTAAATATCTATATGAAATACACTCTTGTTAACTGCATCAGAAATTCTGAGGACAAGGATGTGGCAACAGTATGAAGCTGGTGTAGCCTAAATGACAAATCTTCTTTTCTGCTAGAATTAATGCAGGTAGGAAGAAAAGACTGATGCTGTTACATCTAATTTAATAGAGTGAGGGGACAGAGCGAGGAGATTTTAACACCAATGTGGCAGTGTACAGAGTGATGTACTGTGGAGAAGACTGATTGTATGAGCTAAGATTAAACAGAAACATAAACGAGACAGACTTCAACACTATCATGAAAATAAAATGGTAGTTATCTTAATTCCCATCAATATTACTATCAGATCAAGTCTTTCTTTATCCTGAGCATGATCCTTACATAATCCTAAACCAGAATTTCTGATATAAAAGAATGAAATTTCAATATTTTTCTTTCCTAACACAATCTCATAGCATTTGGTAATGGATTACAATGTAAAAAAAAAATCCTTGAGACAAAGGAATTACTCGTAGTGATTGCAGAAATGAAACTGGTTGTTTGTCACCATGCCCTTCAGATTTTAGTACTGCTTATCATTGCTTTCTACAGTGCATAAATTATTTAAGAAATCTGTATCTTCATTGTGAAAAGGAGAGAGGGAACAGAGCTTAGGATGAATTAGCTGCCATTTAGTGAGGCACTGGAACACTCTGCCCAGAGAGGTGTTGGATGCCCTATACCTGGAAACATTCAAGGTCAGGCTGGACAGGGGCTCTGAGCAACCTGACTTAGCTGTAGATGTCCCTGTTGACTGCAGGGCACTTGGACTAGGTGACTTTTAAAGGTCCCTTCCAACTCAAGTAATTACATGATTCTATGATACACGAACAAAAAGAAAAAACTTATCTACATGAACATTACTGCTGACTGGAATATGCCTTCAGTGGAGAAGTTGTTATTCATACACACATTTCTATGTACCAGTCACTTTATCTAGCTTCTCTGATTCTTCTTTCCTTCTGAATTTTGGTTGAATATTGGTTTGGAATAGGGTCCATTCAAGGACAGGAACCAGTGATAACAGCAATATGGACAAGAGGAACAGGCTGGGGGGAAAAACAGCACTTACAAGAGTGCATAACCACAAGAATGCATTCTTAAACTGAAACATCAATTTCCACATCTTGCTAATCCTGTACTTCTAGCAGAATCCCCTAGATGGACAGAGAAAGACCGAATTTGCTCCTTGGGTATCTATGTGGAGCAGATCCATAAAAAGCTAACAGCTTACTATTGGTTTTGTTTACTTAGGTAACTTAAATAGGAGAGATCCATACTTGGATCTACAGACCGCAGCTTTGCCAAAAACCTACGTGGAAGCCAGTGGGACACTTTGGATGTTAGAATATACTTGAGGTTTGAAAATTTCAGCATAGATAGGGAAATATACATGGGAAACAAGTATTGAAATTTTGACACTTTTTGATCTGGTCTTATGGTGCCTAAGAGTTGAATGATCTTTGGCTGAAAAATGGTTGGATTTGGAGTCATGCATTGTGCGCCAATTATGCCAGCAGCTCCTAAATTCCCCTTACCCAGAGGGCCACATTTTACAGCATTCACGGAGCATCACAGAACAGCAAGATCTCTCTTCCTCCACATTAGTGATGAAAACCAGATGCCTCATGAAAAATAGAGTACATTCAGACATTCTGACTACAAGAGGAAATGGAAGAGTGTACCATGTGCCTCTAATTATTAATTTGTCTTCCATACACCTAATTGTGATATTAGGATCCTGACCTGTTATTTACAAGCAGCCATGTCTGTGAGTTGACCCAATGAGAAACATCTTGCAAACACAAATAGTTGTTGAAAATGCCGATGGCAGTGACAGATGAGCTCTGGTGCATCTTGTCTGGCAAGTTTTAGATATCCCTGCAGCAGAGTGGACAAAATGTGATGTTAGCCACACCACTGCAAAGTCTGGTGTCTTACTTCAAATCACTAATGAAGTTGGCTTTGAGAAAAGGTGCTGCTCTGCACAGGGCAGCTTGAAGTTGAGGTTCATGCCCTTCTGCCAGCTCTGTTGGGTGGCTGAACATTCAACTACAGGGACTAATGGGAGGTTTCTACACATTAAACTGCTGCAGAAAGCTTTCTGTTTTAAGGAAAATCATCCTTAAGAATGACCAAGACACTTAGAATGAGTAGACATTTTTACCATGACCTACATTTTGCTCTCTGAGTCCTGGTTCCCTGCCTACAGTGTGGATAATACCATCTTCTATCACAGGAGAGTCATAAAGTATTTGTATTTATACAGGGAATACATTTGTATTTATTACAGGGAAGAGCAACACAGAAAAGGCTGTAGGAAACCCTTCTCATTTAGCAGTTCAATATACTCAATAATGAATACGGATCACCACATTTGGAAAGAGGAGTATCAGTAAATGAGGCATGAATGATAGTTAGTTGTTGTGTACTGTAATGAATGAGGAAAGGGAAAAAAAAAAAAATCACAAGTGTAATCACATATGTAATTTAAAACATACAGTAATGAATTTGCATAAGGAAATGGCACCCCTATTGTGGCACTTCCTAATTCTTTATGAGGTAAAACTACATGTATTCGTAAGATGTTTTCATTTTTTAAGGAAGTGTCTGTAACAAATGACAGCTGAGTAACACATTTCTGTAGCTCAGCCCTGGGAAACAACAAAGTCTGAGAAATACTCAGGAAGAAAGCTTATTACACAAAACAGCAAAAAAGCATAACTGCAAAAGACTCCAGCTGCCATTATCACCAAACATTCAAACCTTATATCCAATGTTTAAGGACCAATATATTAGTTTAGCGAAAGGAATCAAGGAGTGCTAGTTCTAAAACTTTCCAGTTTAGCTCTGCTTGGTGTGTGAACGGCCTTGTTTTTCTGCTTTGCAGAAGCACTGGAGTCACAGTAGACTACTTTTATCTTTGCATTCACCAGGTGCAAGGGCTTACTTCTTCCTCACATTTCATATGTACTGTTTTGGTTTATAGTGCACTAAGGTAGAAAGTTGCTCAATATGGCTAACAAACAAGAAATTTACCAAAATGGGGAAAAACAGCTAGAGGTCAACCAAAAGTCACCATGATGAAGCTGATGGTGGAAAAATGAGGAGAAAATAAGTGGTCTAAGACCACCATAGGCCACTACTCATGCCCAGAAGGATATTAGCATATATTAATGAGTTCTTGAAAAAGAGTGAATATATATGCCAATGTATTTGCATACGTATACCTGAACTGCTTAAATGTAGAACCTGGTTCTACATCAAGAGCAAGAAAGGAATGCAGCTTTCTAACACCGCATTAGGGTTAGGGAGTTTTCTTCCTGGATTTTGGATGGCAGGTGAGAAAAGATGCACTAATAATCCAATGGGATAAGGCAAGCTGAAAAAATAATGATGATACGCTAGTCTGGGTGAAATAAGCATGTCCATAAGCTTTTCCAAGCAGTTGTCATTTGGGGGGAAAAAAAATAAATGGGGGGAGAGCTAGGAAGAAAAGCAAATAAATGAACACTGTTTGCTTATAGTAAGCAAAAAGATAGCAGAGGGCAAACTGAATCAGTATTTTTTGCTGTCAGACACTCTTGGCCCTGAAAGACAAGGGTTTTTCTGATATTTTAAATCTACAGTAGGTATGGTTTGAAATGCATTTAGTGTTATAAAAGCTAATAACACTATTTAATTTTTCACATTTAATCCCAGCAGAAGTCAGGTCTCTAGAAATTGAAAAAAAAAAATAATCTTCTTGACTCTAACTCACAAAGCATTAAGATGCAGAGCATATCGTCTTATGTACCAATCCCTGTAGCAGTGAGTAGATACAAATAAAGAGTGGGGAAAGATTCCTCAGCTGTAAGCTGGTTTAAGATCATTGCCAGCGAGTCTGATAAGACTGAAATCATGAAAAAGCCACGCAAGGCTGCAAACAAAGCCAGAAGCGACGCGAAGCCCTAACTCTAACGTTAAAAACCACCGTATCTCGTTACTTGTCCAACAGAAACCTGCACAAACCAACCGAGGTTGCGGCGATAGGACCCCACCTTTAACCATCTGCTCCGAACCGCCCGGTTATGCAACGGCAAAGATAATTATGGGAAACAAAGGGTGCGCAGCTCGCGCTCACAACTGGCACACGACCGCTGTGTGCGAGGGCGGGAGGCAGGCAGGCAGGCAAGCAAGCGGCAGGCGGGCGGCGCGGGGCCATTCCTCCCGGGCAAGGCCCGGCCCCGCCGCAGACAAAGCCCGGGGCTCGCCGCGAGCACCTGCGCTCCGCCCGCCCCCGCCTCCGCCCCGCCGCAGCCCCGCGCGGCGCCCCGCTCCCCTCCGCGGCCCGTAGGCGGGGCGGGCTCCGGGCGGCGCCTCCCGCAGCGCGGCCGACGCGGCTCTTTCCGACGCTCGCCGCCGCAGCATGAGCGGGCCGGGGCTGCTGGGGCCCGGCGGCGGCTCGGGGCTGCCGCCGCTGCCTAAGAGCTTGAGCGGGCTGCTCAACTCCTCCTCCTCCGGCGGCGGCGGCCAGGGCGGGCGCTGGCGGGACCTGGAGCGGCTCTACGCGCAGAAGTCCCGCATCCAGGACGAGCTGAGCGGCGGCGGCCGGGGCTCGCCGCGGCCCCCCAAGCCTCCCAACCTGGACGCGGCGCTGGCTCTGCTCCGCAAGGAGATGGTGAGCGGCGGCGGGACGCGGGGCGGCCGGCGGCGGCGCGGAGCCCCCGGGGCGAGGCGGGCGGGGACGGCGGACGTGGCGGGCGGGACTCGGCGCGGCGGGGGGTGCCGCCGCTCAGCGGCCGGGCGGAAGGGCGCACCGGGAGGCACCGCGACGCCGTGTGGAGGGCGAAGCGAGCGGCCTTTGTATGGCGGCTTAGGGCCCGCGGGCTGGGGCGGCCCCGAGGAACCCGGCGGCTGCAGCCTGGGCTCGGGGCGGTCGTTCGACCGTGGGCCCTTCGGTAAAAATACCACGGGGAGCTGAAGGACGCAGTGGTTATTTTCCACGCTCTCAGAATGCGGGGCTGCTCAATGAACGCCCTGTTCGGTGGCAGCCGTCTGAACGTGCCACCCATCTCGGAACTCAGAAGAAAAATGAGCACTGATTCATTTAGCTCGGGTGAAGGACGCTTGGGCGCAACTTTCCTCAAGACCTTGTTTTGGTTCCGTAAAGCTATTAGCACAGCTCCTCGGGGCGGTCTGGCACACCTTTGGGTTCAGCACCCGTGTGGGTGTTGGTGTTCTGCTGATGCCAGGTGCGCTCCTAATGACTAATGAACCACTTCAGTGTTACGCACTTCGCGTTCTGAAACAATGTACAACGTTGCTGCAAAACCTGCCCATCCTAAGGCTTCTTTTACCGTGGTGGGAAGGTATTCGAACTGAAAAAACTGTTGAAAGACTCTTCTGTGGCTTTAACAGGAATGTGCAGCGTGATGAACGCTTAGTCTGTCACAAAGGCTTCAGCAAATAATTGCAATACTGCTTAAAATGGCCTTAAATCCTTATTTGCCCAAAAGGATGGGAAGCATGACTGCTCATCCACTGCAGGGGTGTTCTTCTATAGTAGTGTAAAGGGACCCAAGGATATGAACTTTGTTGTCTTTCTCTTTTCCGAAAAAGCAAAGCTAGCTCCTATAAAAATCTAATTTACTTTTCCTAATGGGAAATCAAATGAGGTGCTTGTTAAAATCACTTGGCACTGGAATTCCCCTTTGATAATCTGTTATCCTTGATGATAATCTGATTATTTTTTTTCCCTTCAGAAGTGTTTTATCACACTTTATCACTGAAGACTTTGTAGCAACAGTCCCCTCAGTTCCAGGTGTGCTCCTCTGTGGCCTATGCAAACTGACTGTACCCTCACGTACTGATAGGCTACCTTTCATCATGGGGATAATGGCACGTTGTTATCTGTTTTGAATGTTCTTCCTTTTGCCAATCAAAGATAGCATTGCAACTGAGCATTGAGCGCACTTCAGAGTTTCAATACTGAATGAGGAAGCATCTTTCCCTGCAAGATATCCTGTACTGGCTTTTTGATGAGGGGAATGGTGGATTTACATGCTGGGGGAGGAAGGGCATCACAGAAAAATTCATCTCAGAACTTTGATCTTGAAGAGAAATGCTGATAGCTGGGGGTGCACAGTATGTAGCCTCGTAGGTGCTATGAGAGGAAATCTCTAGAGTCAAATGCAGATGAGTTGGGATTAAGAACATTATGCTTGTGCTAGCAAGCTTGGATGTTTCTTCAGGCTTTTGATACATCAGAATCATACTTGAAGGTTGTGAAGAGCTAGAAGCTGTGGTTTTCTCAGTAGATCTGTTGTTGTCTGATTGACACTGATGACAGGTACGGACGTAATATATTACATATAACTACTTGATCCTAGGACTTGCTAAACTGATTCTGCTGATCAATGTCTGGTTTGGAGATTACAGCTAAGAGCAGAATGGACTGTCACTCAATGCACTAAAGTGCTGCACTGAGCAGAGACAGGAAAGCTGCTGCGAATTTGTGTGCTCTCCTTTGAAGACAAAGATCTCGCATCTGGAGTCTCTTCTGTCTCTGTGCTGAATTTTCCTGCTCAGTTCATTCCCTGTTCTCCTAATCACTCTGAATAATTCTTCACCAGTCTTGTCTTTCAGACAGACACTTAGTGTTGATGCAAGTTTCCCTAATCTTTCTCATGTTTACATGTAACAGTATTAAGTCCAGCTTCACAGAATTCTTTCTTACTTGAGGTGAGCAGTTTGTTTAGATGGGGCAAGCCAAACTTCATTAGCTGCCAGCCATAAAGGCTGATCTTCAGACTTTATTCTTGGGTAGGTAAACGTTCATTAGCTTAATGTGTCTGATGAAATTACCTCAAGTATGACTTAAGTAGAATGGGTCTGGATATGGTGCATATACTTACTTTTGTTTGCCCCTGTGCAGCCCTTTTGGTCCAAGTGCTGATCTCCTACCATAGAACACATGAAGGCTAGCAGGCACCATTCAGTGAGTTCTGCTTGCTTGGCTTGCTGTAGAGTGTGCACTTAAAGAAGGGGAGAGAAAGCAGTTGTCTTCAATAATGAAAAAAATGAGATGGGGAAGAAGAGCAGCAGAAGATCTGAGGGTACTGAAAGGCACATCTGTAATCTGGCAGTTCAGTATAACGTTTCATACCTTATCCTGTCTCTGCCTAAGAGGCAGAAGTATTGATATCCTGGTCTGTAGGAGGCATGATCATGTCTCTGCTTCTTGACCTGACCAGGTAATACAGCTTGGCTCTGAAAGATACTGTATGTTTTTCTAAGGTGGAGTGGTGATGTGGCGTGTGATGCTTGTTTTTCCTCCTCCCATCTTTAGATAAAGGAGCTCATAAGATAGGGCAGGCCGGGAGGGACCTCAGGAATGCCAAAGAAAGATCTTGTATAACTTCTTGTGGTTTTCTTGTGTGCTGAATGCACCAGTTCTTAGAATTTTAATATGTAAGGAAAAGTTTTTGAGGTAAGAGTTGTCATTCTGTGTAAAATACACCCTTCCATCCCCCTTCCCCCGTTTTCAAATGTGAATTATAGCAGAAACTGCTGAAAGACTGAAACTTGCTAAGTATAGCCAGTCAGCTTAACGCTAAAATTCAGGCGTAATAGATACTTGAAAAGGTTATATTGGGCAGAAGTTTTAATTTACTGTGAGAGAAAACTCAGATTTAATGTGATCTCACCTGGATAGGTGGGAATGTCAAAGAAATTCTTCATTTTGTTACCACAGAGGGAAACCACTTCAAGTTAAATGACCAACTTCATTTAGTATTCAATGTAATTTACCCATTTTTGTGCCTGAAATAAAGGTGGAGGCTGCCGGGTAACTTTGGTGTTGCTCCTAGTCTTTAACTAGATTTCGATCTAATATTTTAGGAGTTTAGGGGACCCAAAATACTTGATGACAAATCAGGCCAATGCATGTAAAACTGCAGGAGTACCAAAAGGAATCTTGAGTAGCAAGTAAAAATGTTTGAAGGTTTGCAGACTGTAATGCACACCCTTATCTCGTTCAGCTTTAGTTTTGCTGCCTTCAGGTAGCATGTGGTATTGTGTTAGATGTGGTTAACTGTAAAGGCAGAGAAGCCAGCTGCCTGTGTATGTCAATATAGAACAGAAAACTGAGCAGAGATACTAAACCATGAAGTGAGAAACCAGTCAGAGCTGCAGTTGCATTTCTTTTATTTGGGCAGCTCTAATCAAGATGAGATCTGTAAAAGACATACAGTGATATCAGAAAAGTGTGTCTTCCACATTGTTGCATGTACAAGCATTATGTTGCAAATAAAATCACACTTGTAATATTATTATTTTAATTTCTCTTCTACTCCTTCCCCATCAGGTTGGCCTTCGGCAGCTAGATATGTCACTTCTGTGTCAGCTGTACTCCCTGTATGAATCCATTCAAGAATATAAAGGTGCCTGCCAAGCTGACTCTAATGCAGACTGCACGTATGCTCTGGAAAATGGCTTTTTTGATGAAGAGGAGGAATATTTCTAGAAATAAGAAGGCTGGTCTAATTCTTCGGTCCTACTCTTGCTACGTACACTAAGTCACTAAGAATGACTGGAATCTCTACGGATGGATCTCTTCTTGAGGAGGAGCACCCAGCTATCCTAACTTGCATTCAATTCACTTATTCTAACATGCTGTCAGCACAAGTTACTCATGCAAATACCACTTGACGAAAGTGCTGTACTGTAACTTCTGAAGAGTCCTCAAACATGTTTGACAAGGGTTTTCAATGTAATTGCAAGGTGGGTGTTTTCAGCTTACAAACACTGATAGCTTATAACTGGAATTTTAATCATAGAAGACAATAATGACTTCCTGATCTGTAGCAACTCTTTGGGGTGGGGAAAGCCTCCGCTGTGGTGTAAATAGCTATAGGTGATTTTGTTCTGAAACAGTGTTGATAAATGCAGTTTGAACAGGCATCTGGATGCACGCACATCCTCAGCTCTACTAAGCTAGTTCTGCTCTTATCAGCTGCATCCAGTTTTGTACTGGGTGGATTGTTTACACAGTTTAATTTTTTTTTCTTAAGCTAATTTTGACTTCCTTACACCCAGCTTACAAGCTGTACATGTGATACTGAATGCTATCAGCAGTTTTTTTCTGTTGATCTAATTCACTTTCTTGGTACTGCCATTTGGCATTAATTTTTATACAGTTGTCTGGATTTCTGGCAAAACAGCTCTTTGACCTGCTAAACTCTGTTCTGAAATGGTTTGCTTAGCTTTTACTGTACTGCGGAGTAAAAGCACAGAATCAAACATAGTCTGTCTGCCACTGTGTGGCTTGGAATAACGTGAACTCTTGTGCAAGTGTTCTGGATCATATGAAGGAGACCTCTCATATGACAAAATGGGACAAATTGCAATATTTTGTATTGGGTGAACTTTGTTTCTGTAAGGTAGATTACAGCTCTTTTTAAAAACGCAAAATAAATATTTTGAGCACATACTTTGCATACGTTAAAACTTTTTATACTGACTTGTTCTTTGAAGTATAACTTATTTTTGTTTTCAGAACTTAAAGCACTCAATTTTCTTTTTAAAATTTCATAGCCTGTACCTGTAACGCTTAATTAGTGTGGAATACATGAGTTGCCAACTATCTTACTCTTCCCTCATTTCTGTTTTAAGTAAAAACCAGCTCCCAATGTGATTTTCATTTAACTTTCATTTTAAAAATGCTGTAAATCACAGTGCCTGACTCATGACACAAGCTAATAATAAGGGCTTAAAGCTCAAGGGGTTTTTGCATGGTTTACGTCTGGCATGCATACAGTTTACAGAATGAATTTGAAATCAATTTCTGGAGTAGCTACTCTCTTAGTTTTTTTTTAGCAAATGCTAGGATGTTGCAGTGATAAAAGCAAAGAGACCTTCAGGGTGGAGTTTTTGTGCGTTCTCTCTAAAACTTTTATTTAGTGGAATTTAATGGCCACAAGAGTAAAGACTGTGCTGTAATTGTGTATGTGTTTAAGCTCTTAAACTAGTCTGTGAAAATTGCTGGATTTCTTTTTGTTAATTCTGGTCTAATTACTTCTCTCACACAAAACTAAACTAAGTCAGATGCAAATAATCCAAATGGCTACATCTATATTTAAACTGCTGTGTGCATGTATGTGTTATGTATATGTACACACATACATGTGCATGCAACTTGATGCTTTGACCTAGGAATGTATCAGCTTCGAATATAATTTGCTGTGCTTTTGGTATTTATATGAGGCTTTTTCTAGTCTGTTGAAATACTGCTATTTTCTTGCTTTTCCTGAAAAATAAAAAGCACGGTGTTTAGCAGAGCTTCATGTCTGTGTGTTAATTTGTCATTTCAATACATCCAGCACCCCCAAAGACTTCTTTGAATTAAGCATAGAAATTCTGTCTCTGCAAGAACCAAAGGTTGTTTTACAGATGCTTATGCAGTGCAATTCCTGAGCAGTCCCAATGGTGAGAATGGACTTAAGCAAAATTTGTAAAGTTTTCTCTTCATTGCTAACTTTAAGCTTCATTTGAAATCATCTGTGCTTTTTAATGCAGCATACTTGTGAGCTAGGAAATGTGGCATGTACCAAGAGAAACATCAGTGTCTCAAGGAATTACTCCACAATGCTATTTGTACTGGAAGAAGGATGGACTATTAGACTTGCTAAGGTTTTAACACTTTGTCCCTTTGAAGACCACCTTGCATAAGAGGGAAGTTGTGGTCCTTATTCCTAAGCTAGATTCAAACGCAGTGATGGCTGGCTGGCTAGTGAGAAGTTTAAAAAAAATAATAACAAATTTAAGTCAATAAACAGTTGTTCCAGAAGCATAGTTCCATGCCTTTTGTTTTGGTTACTGAGCAGTCTCTTCAACTGTTACATGCAGCTTCAAGTCAGAGTTTGGTTATACACGTGATCAAAAAAACTGTGTTACTACACAAGCCTGCTGCTTTCAGTCCAAACCATATAACAACAATGCTTTTTCCCATTTTTCCTCCATAGCCCCAGTTTACACATGTGCGCTTTCTTCTTGCTCTCCAGTTTGACCAGCAGGTCCTGGTTCAGCCATGCTGGTCTCTTGCCTTTTTTCCTGATTTCTTCCATCTAGGGATAGAGTGTTCTTGTGCCATAAGGACAGCTTCCTTAAAGATCTGCCAGCTCTGCTCTGCTCCCTTGTCCTTGAAGACGGATTTCCAGGGGGTTTTGTTGATGACTCCCTGAAGAACTGGAAGTTGGCTTTCCTAAAAATAAGCTTTCTGATTTTACTCTTTGCTTGTCCAGTATCACTCACAAGCATGAACTCCACCACTGCATGGTCACTACAGTGCAGGCAGCTTCCAATCCTGATGTCACCGATCAGTTCACTCATGCTGGGGGGCAACAGGTCCAGCATTGCATCCGTCCCCCTTGAAGGGGTTGTCTATTACCTGACTCAGGAAGTTGTCCTCAGTACATTTCAGGAGCCTCCTGGATTGCCTATTTTACCATCATTTCTCTCTGTACTAGCAAGAATGAACAAAGCTGTAAACAACACAACTGATTTCACTTTGTTTTCTGTAAAGACTACAGCTTTTTCAGCAGTTTTCTCTAGAAAAAAATCGAAGGTTAGCATACTACTGCAGTCATAAAATGGGGACAGCAGCTAGTTAAAACAATGAAAATGAATTACGTGTCAGCAAGTACATATTGAAGCATCCTTGACTGACTCACTTTCGCAGCATCTCACTTAAAGTAAAGTGAATGAGTGTTAATGTTTAGTCAGCTACACAGTCTCTGAGGCTGCAATGTACAGTGAACTCTAAAGATGGCTAAAAACATACCTCTTGCATCTTCAGTCTCCTTCTGTGTCATAGCTGTGTATCTCACCATGACATGGGAAATACATGCTCTCCCACCAGACCTAGCTGTGCTGGATGCAGGCATACCTGGTGAGAATCACAGAATCACCGAGGTTGGAAAAGACCTTCAGGATCATCCAGTCCAACCGTCCATCTATTGCCAATATTTCCCCACTAAATCGTGTCCCTCATTACCATGGAAAGCAGACAGAAGTTGTGTGACAGATGGGAGCCCTCAGCCAAAGGAAACCTTCACAGATTCACTTCTGAAAATGTGAGAAAAGACTTTTTCATTCTATTCAGATAGAGTGTATATTACCAAGTGATACCATGCAACTCCTAGGCCACACGGTCAGCTTAGCTGATGCTACTGTAGAGAAGGCTGTCAAGAAAACAGGAAAAACATCCTGCAGCTCAGCAATAGAAAACTTAGTAAAGTGGTTAAGAAGGTGATTAACTGTTGTGAGCTCTTCACTAGTCTTCCTCTAGAGTGTCAACATGTGGGGTAAAAGGATTAGAAACAAAATTACCAGGTTTCTGTCGGCTGTTTGAAGGCTTTTTGACAACGTACCTTCATTTTATTGCTATGACAACTGCAGTCGTATGGTCATAATTAAATCACAGTCTAGTTTTGAAATGTTCAGAGTCTGCAAACAGAAGAATCGTAAAATAGTGCTCTACTCAAGAACTCAAGTGTCATAAAATAAAAAGGATGGCTGATGTACTTGACAGCTATAAGAGATGGCATTTAGGTCCAACTTCAGTTCCTGAGGAATTCTCTGCCAGTTCTATAGATTTTAGAGGGATGGAGCTGGAATCAGGGGCCTTTTCCTGAAATCAGAACTGCTGCTGCGTGGTATCTCCAGCAACCTATGCTGACATAGGAGAAGTATTCAAACAAGCAGTGCAAACATTTTCAGAGGTGAGGTGATGAAATTTGCCATAGATAATCATTTGAATAGCCTATAAAAATGATTAGTGTTGCTTCACAGAAAGTTTTCAAGTAAAGGTGAAACGAAGTTGTACTCTGGCATAGAGTCATCTTTCAGTTTGCTTTCAAAAGATAAGGTTTTAATGCAAGATTTGGTCACGTGAAATTGAAAGACTGGGGGAATGATAATGCTCAAAATTTGCAAATAATAATTTAGTTCCTAATATAGGTAACCAGATTATTATCCACAGCTTTTTTAAATAAGTTGATTTTTTAAAAAAGTTCATATTTCCTCATAAATTATTGTTTGCAAAGTTTCAAACAGAGTAGCAAAAAACTCAGAATCTGTGTAAATAAGTTAATCAAGTAGTGTCCTTTTACTAAGCTGAGGCTTTGCCTTGCATTTAATCTAGTTCCTCAAGAAACACAGCTAACAAAACGACTGTCCAAGCACCTGCTGTCAGTCTTATTGCTATTAACTAAATTTGATGTGATAGAAATCACAAAGTTTGTCTGGTTTAGCAAACCTTGTAAAAAATAGCCACTGATAGAAGAAAGACTTAGTGCTGCTTTGGCTGCCAAGATCACAGGTGAAAATCATGTTTTCCTTTCTGTATGGTCATCAGCAGCCAGAAAGCAAAAACTGGATGGCTGTGTGGAGCTTTACAGCAGCCTGGGTGCCTGCTGCATCTTTCCTAGTTCTGCCTGCCAAGACTAAATACATGTGGGTGGTGTGGGAAGGTGGGAGACTGCAGTGTGTTTGTTGGTGAGCATGAGAACTGGGTATGTTGCATGGGAGAAGAGGCTTAGGGGAGACTTTGGATATTACTTTTTGGACTAAATGGGATGTTGGAAGGTGTGAGTGTTGTGGTGAGGAATGGCAGTGCTTTTGGAGGACGGAGGTAAGTGAGGTCTGAAAGAAGATGCTCAGACACAAGTTGTTTTCACTAGCTTTGCTGCTCACAGCTTGGGGGATTTCTCTTGTCATTTTCCAGCAGGTTTTAAAATCTGGGTGTACACTCCTTGTCATGGATTTCTAGTGCTGAAGTTATTTATTGCAGATGCATAGTTTTGCTTACTTGAAAATAAAGCATTTTATTTACATTGCTGTCTAGCTAAAACCATTAGTTTTATTTATGGAATTGATTGTTCTGATTGTTCTGTCAGCAAGGGGAACAAATTTCCTCACTCTGTCATTCAGCTGACTGCTAGTCAGAAATGTGAAATGGGTGGATTAACAGGTGTACCTGCCAGAAGGAGTCCTATCATCAGGGCTCTTTTCTTGCCCAGCGCGCAGCTTTGTGCCTTTGAGCCATTTGGAAAGAATTGACTCCTGTTTTATTGAGGTCTGCCTGTAAAGAATACATCACCACAGTAGTTTGAGGTTCATATTCCTTTCCATTTGCTAAATGCACTTTCTAAGAAAACAACTCCTCAGATGTGTATTTGCTGGTTTATCTGAATCTATTAAATTTAACAACACTGCGTGACGTAAGGAAATAACTTGTTCTTAAAAAAACAATAATTAATAGTAATATAAACTAGAGCTCTGTCTTATTTCAAAAGTATTCTTATATTGATTTTAACATTTTCTGAAGTTTTAAGGCTCCATACGCTAAGTGGTAAGGCTCCCTACCAAGCTGTTCTGACTGGCTTTCTGACTATTCTAACTCCATAATCAGCTCTGCAAGCACACAGGGTCTGTTGCAAAGGGCTGGCTTCTTTGGTATTCTGAGGTTAAAATAATCTGTGAAATCTGTATACATTGTTTGTACACAGTGACAAGCTATCCCAAGATCAGATTGTCTGGAAGAGCAGACATAGCTCACAATGTAGATTTGCTCAAGGGCAGATGTAATTGATTAAACTGTAGGTGAGTCTTGATTTGTGCTGGACTGGCGCCTGCTGCTTGCAGGGCAATTAAGCTTCATAAGAATGCAGCAATATTACTGTAGAAAGTTCTCATTCAGAGGGCCAGCAGTGAATTTGGCCATTTGTTTTTAAATGAAAGGGTAATTTTGGAGGGGATGAACATCTACTGCACAAATCTGTTGCTTTTATTTATTTATTTCTTCCTTTCATCCTTTCTATTCAGGAAAATTCATTAGATGGATGTGGCAACAAACAGCATTGGGTAATCAAGCTCACATCTGATTTCAGAGGAATGTGCTTTTAGCAATAGAATTTACATTTTTCAGATAAGGTTGGTATGTAATTTAAAGAGACAAAACTATTTCCTTTTGAAATACACAGGCTCGTGACTACTTCCAGTGAATTTCTGCTAGGGTTTTAAATGCATTAATGCTGCAACATTATTAAAATAATGTATTTAAGGTAATGCAATTTTTGAGAATTCCTCAGTGTAAATCAGAGGAGAAATCTCTTACAGACTGTGGATTATTAGAAGTTAAAATGTGTGACCAGAGCAGACTACATTGGTTGCTGTTGGGAATTGTCAGTGCGTAGAGTTCAGACGTGTATCAAACTGCTGCCTTAAATTTGTGGTAGCAGAAGTAGTTCAATCCTTCTCACAGTGCTAAGTATTCTCTTTTAGAAATCTCAAGCATTTCTTCCATGGGTCAGAAACTTCCCTGTGATTATCTGGCTAGACACATGAGTAATAGTTTTAGAGCTCTTTTTGGCTCAGGATACCAACCACTGTCACAAACAATAAAGTTGCCTGTCTGCATCCTACCAGCTATAGCTTAAACTGTTCTGACTCGTCAACCAGCAGAACCTTTTAAATCATTTGCAAAAGGGCAACATAGTAAGGTCATCACTTCACTTAGAAAAGCACCTGTAGGATACAGGCAGTAAGTTTTGTTATTATTTTTTTTCCTCTGAACTCAACCCTTTGTCGCGTCTTCAGTTCAACTGAATCTGGGATTTAACAACAATCTGTAGCACTATTTGTACTGATAGCCCCACTGCTTACAAGGTTGTTCTGCCTGTGTAAGATACTGGAAAGTTCAGGCACTGCATACAGAGGTGAATTTATAAGAATTGAGGCAAAGTTTTGAATAAGAAAAGCAAAAAACTTAGATAGGACCACGCATATAAACCGTGTTACTATCAACACACCATGGGCTATTCATGTCATGGAATAAAACTATCTTTGTCTTTTACATTCCACAAGAAGTAAATTACCTAAGGATTTAAACACTTGTTTGGTACTGGCAAAGGCCATTTTATCAGAATTAGCAGAAAAAAAATAACAGGCTGTTACGAAGGACATTTCACTTCTCATAGTACAAGCATATCAAAACCCTGTTACCATTTGTTACCTTTTTGTCTTCTGAATACAAGACACCTACATTCTGAGTCCTAATATTCCTTCTTTCTTCTGTTTAATATCGTACAGATCAAAGAATAATCTTTGGATTACTCTTGCTCTTTTTGACTGATACTTTCACGATAAGTGAGTTGTGATAATCTCTGGGGTGGTGAGAGAAGGAATTCTCCCATCTGTTTTATGTATTTCGTTTATCTTGCCTCATGTCCTCTTCTGTAGGATTTGATTAAGGCCTGAGTTTTCATATGTAAATAGGTTTGTCTTGTCTTCAGTGCTTTCTGTGATCGCACAATGGGACTTCTTGTCCCCGTGCCACTTATCGCTAGCCAGTCATTCACAATGTCCTTTCTATTTATGTTGCAAATGGAGATTGTTCTACTGTTTGAATATAACTTCTCATAGAGAATAAAAATCTTTTCTCTGTCGTTAAATGCAGGTGTGTAGAGACAAACACGTCAATCAGTATTAGAGGAGTCAAGCATATCTCACTGTAGATGTTAATTTGTAAGAGAATCCGTTTAAAAGTGTGCTGGCTATAGAGACTGAGACTACAATTCTTTTACAAATCAAAAGGGAGTTTGTACAGATGCATTTATTATCCTGAAACAGAGATCTCAATTCACCATGTCCAATCCTTGCGTTCCATTCTAAAATAGATGCTCTAGTTTTCAGACAGTGATCATATTTTTGTTTCAACTTAACTGTGTGTAAGCCAGCGTAAAAGTCTGGACAAGAATTCTATAGTAGATTAAAAATGTACAGACTACCTTATTTATTTTGAAGTCCCAAATACATTGCAGTTGTACAGCTAAGGAGTCCAAGTGATAGATTTTAATGTTTCTGTCATAACAAAGGTGTTGCAGGAGGTAGCAGAGACTTTGAAGAATGCAACTAGAAAATAAAAAGAGGAAAGTGCATTAGTAAAAATCAAGCCTCCATATTCATGATGAATTTCTCATGTAAAGTTTACATTTTCACAAAATCATATTGTTCAAATAAATTGACATAGTTTAAAGGCTGAAAAACAACTGGTCATTAAACTGCCACTGCACACAGTGAAATCAAACAGGTCTCCTAATTTAGGATAGACAGCTTAACTTGGCTCTCACAAACAGGATCTCTGGCTGCCAGCTGTAACAGCCATCCAAAGTGCCAGTTCGGCCTCACGGTCAGAGGAAGGACCAGATCATCTCTGGGTTCCCTTTTAGCCCCGATTCTGTGCAAACAGATCACTTCCCACCAATAGCAGCAGAGCCAGCTGCTTGCTCAGGACAAAGCTGTGCACTCAGGAACAGCTGCTGCGAGGAGTTGAGAGGAGCCAGCACTTTTCAGTATAATGGCATGAGATTGCAGATGGCTATCTTCCACTCTGCCATTATAAAGAGGAAGGAGCTGTGCATGAGAACTTCCTGTTTTGCTGTCGTCCATCAGGACAGAACAGAAAGGATTAAAAGCCTCTCTGAACTTACTATCAAAGAGCTCCTGCAGCTGAACTAGATTAGCATCATCATGTCGGCATTTTTATTTAATGAAAGCAGATAGGTAACAATGAGGGAAGGCAGAAACGATCTGTATACATTTTTTGATGCTGTTTTATCAAGAAGTTGTTTTTAATCTGTCTATACTTGCTGAACAAATACTTCATTTATCAACTATTTTCATATTGCTCTCTCCCAGGATGGAATGAATTCAAGATGGGTTATGGTTTCCTAGCTGTGCAACTCATCTGCCATTTCCACACTACAAAGTAGGAGAAATGTCCTCAGATGGAAACAGAGACCCTTGGTATTGAAAAAGCTGATCAGCAGTATGCTCAAAATGACATATATAATTATGCTCTCTATTCTTCAAAGTCCAATCCATTTTTCCTGATTCTGGTACATGTCACTTTATTATGCAGTCAACGTTCTCTTCTTCCTAGTTAGTTATTATAACATTATTGTTGGCTTTTGATTTTTGTTGATGAAAAGAATGCTGTAGTCCTATTGAGAGAAAAAGATGCTATCTCTGCTGTAGCCAAGACAGCATCAATGGCTTTGAAGGTTAGAATCAAATCTTATACTAGAAGCAAAGTGAGAGACCAAAGAAGGGATCGGAGTTCAAGAGTGATGCATGTCTGACAGCATCAGATGGGCTACAGGCATCCATGGCAGGAAATGGCTATAAAGGTAAAAACCTTTATGGATGCTTAGAAGCAGAGTGAATTAATGGTTATAAGAAGAGAATGTAAGCTGAGTAGAAGTGTTTCTGTATCAACATTTTGCTTTCTTGTTTAAATTTACGCAATGCTACTGGACTAATTTACAAAAAAAAAAAAAAAAAAAAAAGATACTAATAGTAATACTTTTTCAAAAAATAATTCTTATGCAAGACATACCCGTCCCTTCCACCTCAAAGCCTCAGACTGCCAAATAAATTTTCCTTTCAGATAGCTGAAAGTAAGATCAGTTAGTGTGTTAGCTCCCACCCCTTCGATTTTACTGAACCAATTTCAGATTTATTTTGGCACATGTAGCTGCAATAACTTAAAATTTCTTATAAAGGATTAATGATTTGCAGTATATACCCCTAAAAGTCTGCATATATGTATGCTATTCAACTGTTTGTCATCAAGGCTCAGAATTAAAGCCCCCTTTAACATAACAAAGAATTCTTTGAACATGTCAACTTTGATATTCATGTTCTATGGCTCCTGGCATGTCTGTTTCAATATCTGACATTCATGGTGGTGACTGACTCCCAGACACCTGCAGCTGAGAGGACATAATGCTTTTCATCTTTTTAAGTAGACAACAACAAATTAATTCTCCCCCAAATCCAGTGATGATGGAGGTGAAATTGTTTTATGCAGATACAAACATCCATAAACAAACACAAGGTCTAGGTCACAGCTGTAGTCAGTCTCATATTTGTGATAAGTATTCAGATCTTAATTCATATCCCTATTCCTCTGCTTACGTGCATAGCTGTGGCATGCATTACTGTGCGTCTTGTGGACAATTCTTTTGCCTAAAAACGTATTCAAAATTACAGTTAGAGACAATAAGATAATTTGGGGGTCATATGGACTTACTTCTCCAGCAACCAGCACATATACAAACTATATGAATTCCCACTCTTATATTATGTAAAGGAATTTAAACCACAGTTTTATAGAGAAGGGAGAGGAAAAAAAAGTCTATAATCCTTATGAATAGCAATTAAAACATAATTGGCAGTATTTACTAGGTAGTATTTGCTTTGCATTCCTGCTGTTTATTTATGCAGTGCTCAAAAGAGCTTTACATATACAGACCATATTTATGGAAAAGATTTTACAGAACTTCAACTTCAGGTCTTCTTTCCAGCTACCCTCATAATATATAAGCATTATTGGAAAGACTCAGAAGGTCAGAACAGCATTGTAAGTGAGAATACTGAAATCTCGTCATATACTCCTTCCTGCAAATTCTAACTGTGGTTAATTTGAAACCTGGGTTTCAAATTATTTCAGTGACAAAATTCCTACTGACTTTTAGCAGTGAAGTCATATGTTCACTATGCCTTTTACCATGTTTGTTTTTTTTTTTAAACTCAGAATAGTCACAGTTTGCATGACTGTTTATGTCTTAAATAAGGTGTCATACTAAAGTAATTTGCATTCCTAGCTTTCCTGCTGAAATTGTGAATTAACTCTGTTACAAAGTTGGGAAACAATTATTTTGTGGGCTCATTTTGGTCACTAAGTTCATTAAGCATTTCTCCAAAGTGAAAATGAGTAACACTTTTATTTAGAATGTTGGAGATATTACAGAACAAAAAATAATAAAAGATTATGTACTAACAGTGCTTCTATGTTCTTTCCAGTTCTGGAAACAACAGCGCTTTACTCTTGAACTCCAGATGGCACTGCAGTGCTTATTATTACTTACTTGGGTGAGAACTGGATTGGAAAAATGCAAGTTCCTGAAAAACAATAGCTTTCTTGTTTTAAGAGAAATCAGCTGCTAATAGTTTTCCAGTGCAGATGGATATTTTACTTTCAGTTTTATGAATACTGGGATAACAAATGGCAGCTTGTGTGCTGGAGATAGGACTGGTTGTGTAAGAAAGGACTCACTTGTCTATGTTTGAATGAGGTCACAAGGGTAGTAGCCTTTTCCTCACCACTGGGACCTAAGGCAACACATACTATTGCTGTGAACAGGAATGGCTGTGCAACAGCAGAGATTCTCCATTCATTCCACAATTGATTCCATCAATTTCTGTATAATTAGTTTGAAAAAGCGTATTTACAAGGATGGAGTGCAAAATGCTGAAATAATGAGGCTATCAGTAACTTTAGGGACAGTCCTTGGCTTTACTGTTAGGAAGATACCCTTTGTCATTTGTCAACGTTGTCACTTATAATATGGCAAAAATATTTACAAGAAATAATATTCTTCCTTCATGTTCATTCTTAGAAATATTTAGGAGTATGATGTTTGTTTGTTTAATCACAGACTCACACTGTTTTATACTACATCCATAATAGCTCAATATTTTCTTGCATTAATATTTCTTAAGACTAACCTCCCCCCCTCCTTTTTTTTTTCCTAATGATCTTCTCAATTCTGCCTGTCACCTACATCCTTTTAACTATGTAACTTTTACTCCTGTTCTCTACTGTTGTACAGAGTAATTTCTAAATACTTGACCTATGGACCCAGTTAAAGTTCACAGCTCTCACTGGATAATCACTAAACTTTGGCACAACCCAAGTCTAAATAGCATCACTGTTTGTTTTGTACACTTCATCTGACAGAATCCTGGACTTGTTTCCTTCTCCTATAGGCTACGATACCTTACTGGGTTCTCAGAAAAACACTTCATTTCTCTGACCTTTTACTTAGTTCAAAAAAAAAAAAAAAAAAAAAAAAAGTAACTTTTCATACAAGTTAATGAAATGATATTAAGATATGTAGGAAGGGCAGCCTATTTTTAATCCATTTTCTAGCACAGATGACTATTTCATTACAAAAACAAATTTAAGAAAGATGAGAGCAAAAGACAAAAAAGAATAAATGTGAGAGAGACATGACTGTTTTAAACAGGCAGGACCTTAAAATAGTCGAGGTTTTCTCTGAAGCACCATATGAGACCCTTTCCCAAATGCATTGAAAATGCAGTCCTCAACACACACTATCAATGGTCAACACACAAGCACACACTGAGAAAATCCTCAAGTTCATACTAGATTCATGGAGTTTTAGTGCACTTGTCACATTAACACTGGTACATTAGTAGCCATAAAATCACACAAGGCAGAATGCCCTGCATGAGTTGATAATAATGATGCCTGTGAAAGACTGAAAGCTTGTACAACACCTACTTTTGTCCACGGCTGTGTAGCTATTAATTTTTTCTCCTTCCTCAAAGTTGCATAAGAATAATGGTGGCTCCTGATAGCATTGCAGAGTGCATAGCTGAGATACTATCAGCCTGCATGACAGAAGATGTAAGCACTAAGTGTTCATTTCCATTTTAGGTCTACTAAATAAAACTCAGAAAGCATCCCAAAATATTTTTAATTCTGAATAAACTTTAAGAAAATGGCTCCCTTCAAATTTATATATGTTTTATTTACATATTTTGTTTCTGAATTGGTGACATTTACATTATATGTAATACAAAATCTTTTCCTTGTATGTACAGGAAGGTGGAAAATACCATATCAGAGTTACAATAACAAATGGGGTTTAACTCAGCAAGCACCAGCATCTTCCTAGTGCATATTCTTGTCACGCTCTCTGCTGCAGCAGAACAACATCCCCCCTTTCAATATGGGCAGAAGGTGAAGGAAGAAAATGAAAGCAGGCCAAACTTGCTTCCCTGAAGCTTTTATATAGCGTTTACTGCACTTTCCCATTGAACCTTCTCAAACTGAAGCACATGTTGCAATGATGTGTCTGGCAATGTAGGAAGACAAGCTCTTCAAAGCACCATCAGCAATGTACTGTTTTAAAAAGATCATGGGGGAGGAGTACCTCTCCAAATCTAATTATGCAAAACAATGCATGTTCTAGATACCAGATTGCCAAAGTTGCTAAAGCAAGGTGGATCCCTCATACACCTTCACAACTATGTGCTTACTGGAACAGTTTTGGTGTTGACTTATCTTGTGTACTTAAATGGAGTTGCACTTTATTTTTTATGGGTTTTCTTTTTTTCGGCCACATCACATGCTCAGGAAGATGCCAATTTTAACAAGTGGTACATATATGGTGTTGGCTTCTGATCTATTGAAAAACAATTAGCAATCCTTTGCTTTTCTAACACAGTAACTTAACTTGGCCTGCATAGTTGCAAGGGTTTTAATGTCTGATGTCTTTTGTGATCATAATCTAGACCTACTCTAAACCTGTTCATAGTTAACTTGGAAGATGTTGCAAAATTTTAACTAATGCATTTTGCAAAACATAGATAGGAAACTGTACCTGAGAAAAATGAAGAAGCTAAATGGTACCTGCAGACAGTACAGCCTTCCAGAACTGAAGCAGGAAAATTAAACACTAGATGAAACACAATGGAAACTGGTCTGCAGAAGAGTAGGTCAGTGTCCTAACTACTGCCTTGAGAAAATCAATTCTGCAGTTCCTTTGTGCTATCCCTCTCCTTGCCTGTGAAGGAAAATGGTGCAGAACTTTCACAAGTGTCACCTTATTAATACTTTCCAAATCTTGCCTCTTTTTTCAAGAAATAATACTACATAAAAGAACATTGCTGAGTAGTCTTACATTTCCCTTTTTATGAAATAACATACAATTCAAAGCCAGTTAAAACTGTACTTCCTAGAGATTACTCTAGAAGTAGGTATTTTATTATTCTGGAATGTTTATATAAACAATTCAAAGAACGGAACTTAGTTTTTCCACTCTAGTTTCAATCTGCAATACTTGCCTTTTCTATTAAAAAATCTGTTTGCACATGTGCATTTCTCTCTGAAATCTGTTTTTGCAGAAATATCAATTTTGGCTTTTACATTTTTCCACTGATTCTTTTCCTTCCTCCTAAGGGAACAATTCATCCCCCTCTTTCTGCCAAAATGCAGTGACTGCTAACAGAGCTGAAATTTTTGTAGCATACCGTTTTTATTTCAGTCAGTTATATAGCCAGATTTATAAAGCTCCTAGGATAGTGAAATGTTCACATTTTTAATAGAAAAATAAGCTAAGGCTGAAGTTTCATTGCTTATCGCATTAGACAGCCAAACTTCCAAGTGCTTCTCATTTTAGCTCATCCTCAAACTGTCTACTAAAATTTTTATTACTGATCATCTTCATTATCACTATAAAAACAGTGTCTTCAGAGCCTGCTGGCAGAAATCTTGCTTAGACAAGGGGAGCAGAGGTGCAGGCGCTGATCTTTTCTCTCTGGGGACAGCAACAGGACCTGAGGGAGCAGCTTGGAACTGCATCAGCAGGAGGTCAGGTTGAGTGTTAAGAAATGGTTCTTCAACAGAGGGTAAGCTGAGCACTGGAACAGGCTCCACAGGACAGTGATAATGGCCCCAGACTGCCAGAATTCAAGGAGCATTTGGACAATGCTCTCAGGCACAAGGTTTGAATTTTGGGTAGTGCTGTGTGGAGCCAGGAAATGGACTGTGGGCCCCTTCCAACTCAGGATATTCTACAACCCTCTTCATTTGAAAACGATCATCACCCTATCCATATTTCTTTAGGTCTGAGCTGACATTTCAAACATCCCATCCAATTTTCTGGACCAAACAAACCACACCATTTTCCAAAATTAATCCAAAGAAAATAGCCAACCAAGGGAACACTCGGTTCAAGTTCAACGTAACTGCAAAAGAAAACAAAACAAATTTATGAATTTCCATCTAAGACCATAGAAACAATGTGAGAATTCATACTAATTTGTATGCCTAAGAAATCACACAAATCTGTTAACACCTGCTTTCCAAAGCCATGCATAAAATTAATACAAAGCATTCATCTTCCAGGCACACAAATAATTCTACTCTGTGTTTTGATGATCCACATTGAAATGTCTCAAACTATAACTGATGGATCCGATGGCTTTAATGCAGTATATAGAAAGAGATGTTGATAAGTTTGTTTTTTTAGCTCACTTTATATGTAATTTAAATATTACCACTTTAGGCTAGAGCTTTTTCAATCACACATCTCATATTGATTAAAAAATATAACAATAGAAATGACTTATCTAGCAGCTGCATTTTCTCACACATTCTATACAAATAATACAGTAACAAAGCAAGAATGTACCTCTAATTGCCTGAGAGTTTGATATCAAGACGAATACTTTTATAAACACAAGACACAAAGGTGTGTAGTCATGTTCCCAAATAACAGCTGGAATTAATAAAAGCTTTCCATAGCTGGACAACAGCAGTGCCTTGAGAAGTAAAATGAAGTCAGACTTCGTTTTTAGCATCTTGGGTCTCCTCCACCACAACGCAATAAAGATGCCAACCAAAAATGAAGTTTGTTCTAAGAGACAATAAGAGAAGTTGAAAAGAGAAAATGAAGCACCAAAATCAAGTCATTTTTGATACCTTATAGTGAAGTGACACATCTCTAATGCACCTGGGCCACTGCTATTTAAAAGACACATGCAAACACAAACACGATTTGCATCTCCTGTGTTCATTTTAATAGCTATACATTATTACTACTTAAACCAATTCAGCATCATTACATTCAAAATAATCCTATCACAAAACTCTGCTTGAAATTACAAGTCAGAGTTGTAACTTCTTACATCACGCAGCACAGGTACATGAAGCTCTTTTTAACAGAAGGTGAGGTTTTTGTTATTTTGTGTTGGGTATTTTTTTTTTAAATTCTAATTGTCTGTTAGGCTGTAAAACAGAGTCATCAATACATTGCCTTTCTGAAAAGGTCACCAGCAGTGAACTCTTTCATTCAGGATAAGGAATACTAAGGTGAAAAAATCATTGAGCTATTTTTGATACCTTCTCCCTGTATAACACTGGAACTTATGCAGACATCAGAGCAACTCACATGACAGCTGTAATAGCTGAATTACTACTGAAATACAAGTTTCAACATTTTTGCTGACATGTAATGAAAACCTACTAGAGCAACATTAGAAAACAAATGATTGAAGTTAGATTTTCAATGTCTAAAGGAAATATTAATTTTTGTCTGAATGTTTGATTTAAAGAATATCACCTGGAAAAAAAATAAGAGAATAAAAGCCTTAACCAAAATAAAACAAAAACTCTCCCTGCCTCTCCCTGTAGTCTTAGAGCACAGGAGTATTTTCCTTTGTTTGGTTGGTTTTGTTTTTAAAAAGCATTTAGACACTCTGAAAGACTTGTCTTTCCTTTTTCAGTAAGTTGTAAGCAAAATTCTATGATAACGAAGCATCTCCCCATGTTACATATTGACTTTAAAATGAGTAAAACCAACAGGGTCATTTTAAATAGATTAATGTAGAAAGAGGAGCACACTCTATTATAGGGAACACAACTGGCAATATATCATGCAAGAGAATGAGGCACAATGTAAACTGCTGAGAATGCTAATGTGCTTGAAACAGTGATCATATATAAAGACAGTATCTGGAGCTTTGCACCTTGGAATGAGGCTGAGCTCTATGCTGCTCTTCAAGCTATTTAAATGAATTAAGATTGTTTGCAGAATATTGCCACTTTTCAGTGATTTGATGTCAAATGCTGATCATGTCAGTCTGAATATCATATTTGTCCGAACTGTAATCAAGTTTGAAAAATGAATTTGTAACAAATGGAGGCAAGTTAGAAAATGTGTGCATAATAATTTAGCCATGCTGGATTGGACATGACTTCTACTCTATGTTACTAATTTTTGGAATGCAGATTTGCAGAAAGACTCATGAAATTATTGAATGCTTAAGAAGTACATTTGATAGTCACATGAAATAATTATTGTTCTTACCTAAAGAAGCTATACCAAACATTCTATAAAAATCCCATTCCTTGGCATATCTGATTAAGTCATCAGGATCTGTACTTTGGCTAGAATCCTGGAGCTGCAGCCACCTGAGATAAGCTTCACAGAGTAAACAAAATATGTAGAGCTTCCCATGAAACTGCAAAATGAAAGAATAATAAAAACATCAGTTAAAGCACCAATATTAAATAAGTATTTAAAATACATCCTTATATCTCTAAACAAGCAACCTCTGAAGATTTTAATATCTGTTTAGGAATACAAACAAATTATTCTGTTGCGTCCCTAGTTTAGCAAATAATATTTTTAACATCAATTCACAAGATAGGAAAATTAGAGAATGTAAAAATTGCATGGAAGAAAATATGTAACTGTAGTTTGCAAGGCCTGTTTTCTACTTTTTTTTTTTTTTTTTTTTTTTAACTGAGAAAGCAGTTTTATTTAGGAATATAAAAACAAAGTTGTGCTGCAGCTAATAGAACTGTCCTTTGAGACTTTGTGTGTTCTATTCACAATACTAGACCCTTAATCTGGGAACAAGACTGGTTCACCTTGCTGGTATCAATGGAAGGGAACAGACTCTAAAGTTTACACCTATTCCAACCAATGTATTAAACCCAAGTATTACCTTTAACCTAAAAATTCGCAAAGTAGGTGCATAGCAACTTACATTAATCTTTGTATTGAAAAGAATGTGTCTGTATGCTTGTGCTTTACATAAAATTGCATTAATCAAGATGATAACAGGATCATACTCAATGTATTTATCCACAGGTTTCTGGCACGATTTCTGAAAGTCACAAAATAACAAGAATTAGAAAGAAGAGAAAGCAAGAGTTCATGCTCCTAAGCTTAGCACAAATGCATAAATACAAAGTAGCTATTCAATTCTCATTCGTTTTTCCTTAATGTAATCTTTATTTTCAATTGGTTTTTAATTCATCCAGAAGAATTGCTTTTTTGCCCTTTGACATTACAGTCAATACAAGCATTTCCATTATAAACCAGAAAGATACACCACCTATTTTTATAGGCTTCAGATTAATACAGATCAACAAACTATGAAGGATGTACTTATTTCATTTATCATTACCTTCTTTCAAAAGATATGCTTTATCTTCCTATCCTACCTTTTTCTTCCTTTCAAGAAATAAAAATATTTTTTTCCTGTTGCATTGTTCCTCCATGCTGATAAATAGTCCAGTGTTTCAATTTATTTTTCATTATTTAACAAACAAATATTAATGCATTTAGAAAACTTGAAATGTAGTTTTCACACACAGATGTAGCTGATAAGTCAGAAACTGCCACTGACAGGTGGTAAGACATGAAAAAAAAATACTTCTCCAATTCATCTGTTGGTTCCTGCTGTGCCTACTAGAGGTTATTTCACCCAGCCCATTTCAAACTTATGGACTAGCCTGGATGGGTGCCCTCTCCTTGACTTGAGCTAATGAGAAGGGATAACAGAATTACCTTCTACTTGTGATCAGAACAGTCTTAGAAAAGCCTCAATCAGCAGACCTGAGAGGAAAATAGCTTCTAGGTGAGAGCAGAGGAGCAGCAGCGCTTGGTCACAGCAGCCACTTCAGCTCAAAACAGGGCACTTGCAGAAAGCTGCATGTCTGCAGGTCTGCTTTCTTCTGCTACCAATGCTCCAGCTCTGCTGCTTGCTTTCTCTAGCTTGTCCTGAGCTAATTCCACTTCCCAGGCCTCCACATCAGCTGTCATGCTCAGAGTGCAGAAGTCACAGAATGATCTCTATTTCCATTTTAATGAGCTCACAGCTCTACACTGCCAGAACAGAAATCCATGCACAGCAGCTTTCTGAAATACTGCCAAAGTCAAAAACACAGCATGAGACAACATGAAACTACAGGCAAGCTCCACATCAATTTGACAGTGATTCCTTGTGTCCAAAGTTAACTTTGCCTTGATATTTATCAGAATTACTATTCGAGAAGTGAAGCGTGCAAAAATTCACCAGCAGATTGACTTAAAAGCCCAATATCTATAACAAATGAATAAATTGAATAAAGCACCTGAGGAATGCTGCTACCATTAATTAGTGTTTCTTGGACCCAATAAAGAAAAAAGCAAACTCATTTGGATGAGAAAATACTAAGTACAATGACAGTGACAAAGTTAGAAGAAATTAATTCAAAAATGGATTCATTAACTGACAGTTTGATGGATCTAAAATTGAAGCCAGAGAGATGGAAGAAAGGACATAATTAACAGAAGACAACAGCTACAGCATTTAATAATCGAAAAATCTACCACAGAAGAAACTGTAACTGCCCCTCCGCTCCCTGTGAGGAGCTGCAGCCACCATGAAACCTCTCCTCAGCTCCTCTGCTTTGGGCTGTTCAGACCCAGAGCCCTCTGCCACCCTTCACGCGCCTCACCCTCCAGACTCTGCCCCATCTTCTAGCCTTCCTTTGGATGCTGTCTGATAGTATGTAGCAAGGAGACTGCTACAAATGAATACACAAGCAGCAGTATTACCTGTAACATAGGTCTAGTGCTGCACAGCTACAGCCAGCTACAGCCAAATAAATCTATAGCTGTAAGACCGATGTTTAATTCAGCATACTACCAAAATTTAGGAATCCTATTTTACTTATGTTGATTTAATGGGAAGAGAAAAATTGATATCACAAAAAGCAGCCATCTTCAAGGACTTCTCACACAGACAGGACAATACATTCATGCCTGCTTATCTTCTTAAGTTAGATGAGAATCCTGTTCTTAATACATTTTATTTCTATTTGAGTCTTAACTTTACAAAGGAAGAGTCCTTTTTGCTGACCCAATCAGTGACCTGGTCAGCGTGAGGTCACTCAGGGACTTATGAGATCTACAACACATTTCACTGCAGAAGACTTGCACGTGCACTGACGGACTTACTGGACAAAATGAAGACAATAATTCTGAAATCATGAGGACATCACAGCATTAATAAAACTTTCAGGATGAAGTTTTCTCCATGCCTGGATTTCGGTAATTTTTTTCCAACTGTAATACTAAAATATCTGCTGTTAACCCTAAGCACCTAGGAAGCAAATGGGATGAAAGCCTGGCTTCAGCCAAACCAACGTAAGCAAAGGTTAATGCAGTTCACATACAAGTATGTTTATCTTGACAGTTTAAACTAGTTAAAATGATGTCACTTTATGAACATTGATAATCCATAGCACTTTCAGAGAAGATCAGTCTGAGCAGCTCAGCAATGCAGAACTGCTTGCAACCTCATTTTTAAGATTGGGGTGTATTAAAAAGAGCACAACCCAGCCCAGGCCCATGATGATGCTGGCCTTCTATGACCGTGTCACTGCCTCAATTCATAAGGGAAGAGCTACTGATGTCACCTATCTGGACTACAGTAAGGCCTTTGACATGGTATCCCACAACATCCTTATCTGCAAATTGGAAAAAGATGGATTTGAAAGGTGGACTGTTGAACGGACAAAGAACTGGCTGCAGAATTGAGTGCAAAGAATGGTGGTCAATGGCTCAATGTCTGGATGGAGATCAGTGACAAGTGGTGTCCCCCAGGGGTCAGTGCTGGGACTGATACTCTTTAATGTCTTCACTAATGACACTGGGATTGAGTGCACCCTCAACAAATTTGCTGATGACATCCAAGCTGTGGGATGCAGTTGACACATGAGAGAGATAGGATACCATCCAGAGGGACCTAGCCAGGCTTGAACAGTGGGCCAGGTGAACCTCGTGACTGCAAGGTCTTGCATCTGGGTCAGGGCAACCCTCACTACCAAAACAAGCTGAGGGATGAAAGGATTGAATGCAGCTCTGCAGAAGAAGGCCTGGGGGTACTGGTGGATGGGAAGCTGGACATGAGCCAGCAATGTGCCCCTATAACCCAGAAAGCCAACTGTACCCTGGGCTGCAAAAAAAGAAGTGTGGCCAGCAGGGAGAGGGAGGTGATCCTGCCCCTCCACTTTGCATTGGTGAAGCCTCACTTGGAGTGCTACATCCAGATGTGGAGTCCTCAGTACAGGAGAGACACAGACATGTTGGGGTGTGTCCAGAGGAAAGCCACAAAAAATGATCCAAAGGATGGAACACCTCTCCTACAAGGCCAGGCTGAGAGTGCTGGGGCTGTTCAGCCTAGAGAAGAGAAGGCTCTGAGGGGACCTGACACTGGCCTTTTAGTATCTAAAGGGACGCTACAGGGACGATGGAGACAGACTCTATAGCATGATATTAACAAAAAGCAACCAAAAATCCTTTTTTTTTTTTTTTCTCCTGTGTAGCGTGCAAGTCAGAAGATAGCAGAAATCCATCTCTATCACCTTGACTGCCTTCTACCTGAGAACACCTGTTGATGGCTCCAGTTTTCAAATAGTCTCTATTTCTGATTTAAGGGAGGGAATCAAGACTACACCCTCTTCCCCCCTTCCTTCCCCTCCCCCCAAGTAAGTAAATAAATAAATAAATAACGCAGAGTGCTAAGTGATCCAATTTCTCCACACGCTACAGAAAAACACACCAGAACTCACCCCAGGCCACAAGTTTGCCCTGAACACTATCCAAGCCAGACAGCTGGATATTGTGCGAATCACAGAATCGCTCAGGTTGGAAAATGCCTTAAAGATCATCGAGTCCAACCGCAACCCAACCATACTGCCCTAACTAACAGCCCTGCGCTAAGCCATGTCCCTGAGCACCACATCCAAACGGTTTTTAAACACATTCAGGGATGGTGACTCAACCACCTCCCTGGGGAGCCTATTCCAGCGCTTAACAACTCCTTCTGTAAAGAAGTTTTTCCTGACATCCAACCTAAACTTACCCAGGCACAACGTAAGGCCATAAAGCAATAGCCGAAAGCACCGCCGCAAACGCTATAGCCGCGCTGCCCCAGGCCCGCTCCCGCCCGACTCACGCAGACAGCGATGCGGAGCACGCCGTGCCGGTAGTCGCGGTAGAGCTCCGCCGCTTCCCTACTGCACTCCACGCAGCGGTACGCGCCCCGCTCCTCCATCGCACGCCAAAGCACGGCCCGCCACCGACACTACCAACCGCCTCGTTTCCGCGTTCAGATGCGAAAGAAGGACGGACCCTCACCGCGATGCATGCTGGGAATTGAGGTTTTCTCCCGCCTCCCGGCAGTGAAGCCCACCCGCTGCAGGACTCCATATCCCATAGGGCAGCGCGGCGGCGCTCCGCTCCTCCCATCTCCTCCCGCGGGAGGCGCTCTTCTCCCCGGGCGCGGTGTGGGAGCGGTGCGCATGCGCCGCGCGAAGATGGCAGCTGCCGGCGGACTCGGGTCCGCGAGGGGGCTGTGGGCGCCGCTGTTGGTACTGGCCCTGGCCCGGGTCGCGGTGGCTCTGACCGAGCAGTACCCGACCCTGTCCCTGCTCAAGCAGGAGCTGCACCAACAGCGCCAGGGCCTGGCGGGGGGCTGCGCCTCGGCGGGGGAGTGGGCAGAGCAGTACTCGGCCGAGTGCGGTGAGTCGGCTGAGCGGCCGTCAGCCCGGGGCTCCGCGCGGCCCTGCGGGCGCGGCTTGGGGCGGAGCGCGGCGCGCCTGGGAGGCTGCCGGCCGGCCGGCCGCTGTGCGGGGGCTGCCCGCCGTGCGGGGCCTGCTGGCCGTGGGCTGCGTGTGTACGGGGCCGAGAGTCCCCGTACAGAAATGCTGGGTCAGGATAGCGAAAGCTTCTGGGCTGAACTCGGGCCCGGCTCGCTCACGCTTCAGCACGGACCCGAAAAGACTTTCACCCGGTGTTAAGATAAAATCGGCGTCAGGTGCGAGTTAATGAATAGCAAAGAGCTTTATGGCCTTTCTCGTCCTAGTGAGGCACAGCTGATCGGCTCCGCTGGCAGTTGTGTGGAAGGTTAGGGTTCGGTTCGGTGGAAGATGTTCTTTTAAAGAGCTCGGAGTGACTGGGAGCCATCCGTGGTGCTCTGCTTCAGTCATCACCTGCCTTTGCTTTTGGCATTTGCTGGTAATCGCATAGCTGGCAATTAAAAACCAGCACGGTAACCCTGAGATAGCAAGGATTGGGCTGGTATGCAGCTGTTTTAATCTTACTGCAAAACGAATAGCTGGCTTAAAAGTTCCCTTAAGCTTTCAACCATTGCTTTAGTTCTCCTTTCCCAGAAGCTTAGAACCTTGTTGTCTCACAGCGTCTCTCTTGCAGCCACCACAAGGTCTGGGCTACTTTCTTTGCTCTTGGTGCTTTAAGTTGTCAAGAAGACAGTGTTGTACAGCTGTGAGTGTACCTAACCTGTAGACAAAGACAGGAGCTGAAGGGTCCTTTCCCCCTATGCCTTGTAACAGATAGACTGTTATTATGCTCATGTTGTTCATTCAGAAATTATTTCACTACATTTTCACTGCTTTACAGAAAAGAGTTCTGGAGGTCATAAGCCACATTTGCATCTTTTCATTTTGATTTGAGAAGCTAAGTTTGCTCAACAGGCCTGATGGATGGCTGCTAGCTATCACTGACATAGAGCACCGATATGGCCAACTCACGTGTTAATGATGCTGCTGCTGCCTATGACGTGGGAGAGGAGAGTGACCAACATTAAGAATAGGGCAGAGCTGAAACCTCCCAGCAGCAGTGCTTTCTTTCTGGAAACTATGTATCGTGAGCCACTGTTCTTACAGGGCTTCCCAGCTTTAAACTTTAACCTTCTGCTTTTCACTAGTCCTGCCTCTGTTGTGTGGCTCAGCTTAGTTCCAAGTTTCTCTTTACAGGGTTTGACTTTATATGCTACTTAACTTCCTTATGAGAAGCTGTTGCTTTTTTTCTTTTTTTTTTTTTTTGGTCTGTGTTTGAGAGAAATGGGGAGGTAGCTTACTGCAGATTGAGACCTCCATCAAAATGCATGCGTAGCACTTCTTCCAGAAGTTAACACAGACACACTCTCCCCATTACCTTTCAAACTTACTACCACTACTCTTTTTTTAAATATTATATCTGGTATTTGTGATACAGAATAAAAGAGATAATGCTGTCTGCTTGCTTTTTCTTGTTTGCTTTTGTAACTTTTGAAATTTGTGTTTCAAGTTGGTAGAAGCTTTAGGATCTGAAGACTGAAAAGCTAACAGTTCTTTTGGGATAGCAGTAAAATCACCACATAGATCAGATAGTGACTTCAATTGGGCTTTTGTTAATTTGTTTCTGTTTTTTTTGTTGTTGTTGTTGCTGTATACTTTGTTAGTCTCTTTTTTTGCTGTCTCGAGCTGTGTTTGGCTTTCTCTCATTTCTAGGATTGAGTCAATCTTGGGCTTTCTGTCATGATATCCTTAGTAATATTTGTGAAAGACTTTATATATGTTTAGTTTATTGTGGTTTGTTATATTTCCTCTACTTTCTGTAGTCTTTATTTTGTCTGTTACCTGGATTTCTAGCAGCAGATCTTTCTCTACCTCTTTTCCAGTTATCTTTCTCTGTAGAATTGGAATGATGATTTGAGCTTCAATTTCTTGGACCAGAGATCAGCATCACCATCAAATGGGAATACATCTATTGCTTCCAGTTTCTTTCCCTTTTATTCCTCCCCTAACTTTTTAAACTTTTTTTTTTCCCCCATGTATTTTTAGTCAATAGCATGAACAGAAGTAGTTAATGTGAGGAAATATAGTAGTGAAACGTGTGACTTCTTCAGGTATTAATTATCACTCTTTTCCCCTAGATTCATCATTTTTGCACTTCCAGGAATCAGACTGTGACTTAAGAAGTTCTTCGTCTTGTGAGTCCTTGCTTTCTCTCAACACAGAAAAAATTCTGGTATGCTATCAAGAACATAATGTACAAAACAAATTTAAATAGACTGTTGAACTGACTTTAACTACATAACTAGTCTGAATTAATTTCAATCAAATAGCTGTAAGTAAAATTTGTTAATCAATAGAAAATGTGTCCCCAAAAGCTCAAGTATGAATCAACTAAAGTTGGTCATGAAAGAATGGTTTCATAGTACTCCATCATGAGTCTCCAGGGCTTACAGCAGTTTATACTAATTGAATCTGGTCAGATCTGTCTGGTCTAGGAGTACCAGCAGTTCTTTCTAAGGCAATTAAATGTATATTAATTTGTTATAAGTTTCCTTGTTTCAAAAATATTTTTTGAGTGTACTTTTTTCTTTTTTTCTTTGTTTTAAAAGATCAAGAATACATTTAATTTGAAGCTGATGCAGTGATAAATTCTCAGTCACTTTTCAAAGGCAGAATGACTTGTAGTTTTTTGCAGTGGAGCTGCAGGATATCTAACTTGTCTGGATTCAGAATTTGTTGAAGTGTGTATCACCTTCACATTCTGAGGAGTTAAATACCAAAAATAACTTTCTGAAATATGTTTTCTGGAAATTGCCTTAGGACAAATGATGATGCAAAAAGATTGGTTTTGGAGGTTTGTGGTTTTTGAATATTTGTGCAATATAGATTGGTATACCTGTTGAGCCCTGCTTATTCTTCTGTTCTACTTAATTATTTTTAATTAATGACAAAAGAACTATTCTATTCCATTGTACAGAGTAGGGTGTTAATTCTCTACGTTACATCTGAGCTCACACACCGTCTCTAGTTTCAACAAAACCAATTCTTAAAAATCATGGTTTGCTAATCTTACGTACCCTCCAAAATGTTGGCAGAAGGTGTTCTTTTCATTTAGGATGGTTACTTTTGCACCTGTAGGTCATTGAAATACCTGTCATGCTGTCATGGATACAAGTGATAGGACTTCTTTTGACTGAAGGAGCCAAAAAAAAAAAAAAAAAAGAAGGGAGAAGGAAAAAGTGCAGTCTTCTCAGAGATGAAGATAACAATGTTCTCTGAAATTTGAAGTGTTAGACTGTCTTCTGTGAAGTAGAAGATGCATAGATGCACAGTTTACCTGAAGCAAAAGATCTGAACACTGAGAGAAATTCATTTTTCCATTCTTACTTCTTAGGACAGTTTTGAAGGCTTTTATTAAATAAGCATTTTGAATTTTCTTAACATGTACTCCTCTGGTAGGCTTGCAGCTATCTGTGGAATACAGTTGTGAAGATGAACAGGGTACAGTATTTCTGTATTTTAGCTTTTGCCTGTGGCAAAATTGTTTTCCATAGATAGACTATTTGAGGAACATAAGTTTTGATCTTTGTTCAGCCTGTTGTAGTCTCCATAAATAGAGGTGGTTAGAAGAGGAGGATAGTCTTTTTCCTCTAATACAACACTGCAACATTAAACGTGTCTTTTATTGTTGGAGCCATTTTCTTTTCAGTGTTTCATTTTGTTTTACTTTTCCCTAGTACTCTTACCTTTCTAGAGACAAAGAAATTATTAATGGGGTGAAGAACAGAAGCTTTCCTATGAGGTGGAATGTGTTAAACTTAGTTGTAGTACAGAAATGGCAACCACCACTGAAATGCTGATAAGGTCCTTTAATCTGAAATGTTTGACTAGCCTTATATTAGAAAGGACAGCAGAATCTTACTGAAGAACAGTTTTTCTTCTTGCAGAAGACTGGGAGTGTATTTATTTTCATTTACAGCAATCATATTGGTCTTAAGATTTTGATTTAAAGCATTCTCTGTTAAATTTCTATTAAATTATTTACTATTGTTTGCTAAACACTACCAACAATGATGTTTTACAGAGTCAAGCAAAGTCGCTTGCAGAGCAAAAGAGATTTCCGTTTGCTACTGATAATGACAACACAAATGAAGAATTAGGTAAGGTATCTTATAAGGTTTGTGCAGGGTGAATTGCGTGCTCACTGGTAGCACTGAATATTTTGAAGCTAAACTAACAATTCCTAGGTGATACATTAATTTAAAATGATCCTAAAAAGCCTAGAGAATTTTCTTTTGTGTCTTCCCAAGAATCCTTCCTGCTATGATCACTGGAATTCTTCACTGTATCTGTTTACAAAAGTGATTCAGAAATCATTATTAAATCCTATTAAACAGTGTCAAATATATTTCCCCTTTTCTGTCATTACTGATGTCTAAAACTATTCAAGCATCCTGAAAAATTTACTGGTAGGATGTGGTTTCGTTCAAGCATGGATCCATACATTCTTCCCTTCAACACAAGTAGCAATTTTTGTCCTTTTGCAATCCACTACTTGCTGATGTTTTTTTCAAAGTACACTTGGGGCAGAAGATGGAGGCATTTCAAATAAATCAACAAGGAATACTTTTCTTGAAAACTTTGAGGAAGAAGTTACTTGTTCTGATTCTCCAAACGTGTATACTCATTGGAAGCAGAGGTGCTATGAAGAAGCAAAGAGATTACTGAGAGTGTATTTCAAGGAAGACAGCAGACTATCTTGTAAAGTCTCCCCTTGATATTATGCTCATAATTTCACTAAGAAAGTGAAAAGAATTGAGTATATTTTTGTTGATCTAACTTCTGCTTTCAAGGATTTATCTAGCAAAACTTGGGGGTTTCATCTCTTTTTCATTTATCCTAATTATAATCATAGAATCGTTCAGGGTATACTGAACTTCCATCCAGCAGAAAAAAAAATGATGCCTTTAATACCTGCTCTGTGGACTAAAAGTTATACCAGATGGTCCCAATTCCTGTGTTTGGCCTGTAAGCTGGCACCTACACACTGCCAAAAGATTGTGGTTCTGCTTGTCTGAAGAATAAATATCTTTGTCCTGTAAAAATATTTTTGTTCTAATTTATTGGCTTCTTTCTCTCTTTATGGTTGAGTAGATAATTGAGCTGATGGACCTCATCCATTATGCTTGGGTTACTGCTAAAACTAATTAGAAGTGTGGGGAAAGGCAAATGCCAGTGCTCAGTTCTACTGTCAGCTGTTCACGTGAACTGCATGGAGAAAAGTTTTACCTTTCATAGTTGTAGTCTGTAAAATGCTTGGTTTATGTGGGCACTGTGAGCAGATGTTAGTCCAGAACTAAGAACTGTGAGAGATTTAAGATTGTTTATTTTAGCACATCATAGATATTCAGCTGTCACTGAACTTCAGTTGCACAAGCACAACCATAACTTTTAAGTCTTGTGACCTGACTATTTTTCTGTCTTCTGGGGATTATACAATCCTTAGAGTTGGAAGGGACCTTTAAAGGCCATCTAGACCAACTCCCCTGCAATGAACAGGGACATGCACAGCTACATCAGGGCTGGATCCAGCCTCACCTTGACAGTCTCCAAAGAACAGGTTTCTAAAAACAGTTGTCTGTTTCTTTATTGAATACTTGGATTCTACTCCAAAGTAAGGATGCAAAAACTTTAAACCTTTCATATGTTAAAATAGGTAAAGATTGTGTTTTTCAATCTCATCATAAAAAGAACAGAATCACTTCAGTTTTTCTCGATACTTCATGTAAAGGAAAAAACGTGTGCAAATTAGTAAAATGAAATGCTTTCTAATGGAAGTGTCAAAAAAGTATTCATGTTAGCCAAGCTCACAACTTGAGGGGTCATCTAGGGCCATCAGATGGAGTCGCGGTGTCTTTTCTAGTGCCAAGTACTTCAGACGCTAACGTGAACTCTTTCCTGTACAGCTTGTAAAAAGGAGAGGGGTAGAGCAAACACAGAACTCCAAAACAATTCTGATGAGCATAATCCAAATTGAATAATTAACGAATGGTAGGTAATGGTTAAAGAAAGCTATTTGTAGTGGTGGTTTAGAAAACCCTTGGTTGTCTTCCTCTTCAGTACAATATAAGTACTAATATAGCTTACAACTTGGTTGTATTTAATATATGTATTTAAAAAACAACTGTTTTTTGATGTTTTACTGACACTTGTAACTTCTTGTTAGCAATTGCTTACGTGTTGATTGGCAACGGCTTGTACGATGAAGCCATAAGACAATTCTCAACAATGCTGCAGGTAAGTTTTCTTTTTGGACTCCTTAAGCAAAATATAGCATTAAAGGGAAAAAAAAATCACTTCATGAAATCATCCACTACAACTTATGACTTTTACCAAAGCAGGTATTGAATTAAGGTTTTTAAAGTGAGAGCAATTGCTCTGTTGTTTGTTCTTTTTTTTGCATCCAAACATAAGCAGGTTCTTAAAGTCGGTTGATTCAGTATCTCTTTTGGTGGTTATTTTTCTCATCTGTAGGAATAATGTTTTTATGACTTTCTGAAGAAAGGACATCGTCAGAAACTGGCATGTGCAAAATTGAAGTTCCTTTAATTTCTGTCTTAGGGTGTAGATAGAGATCTTTTTAATTTCTGTGTGTGTGAATGTGTGTGGGTGGAGGTGGGCTGCAGTTGTTACTGGTAACATAAGCAGAAAACTAAACAAGATCATTTATTGCTAGTATCAAATATCCTGCTGTGTTCTCAGTGATATTCTGAATCTTCTATGAATCTAGGTAGCCACAGAAGAAAACAAACAAAAAAATAACAGAACACCTAAAGCTGATTTCAAACTACTGTATTTCCATGGCTAAGAGCCTGTGACTACTAGAAGTATGTGCTTGGTTTTTGTTCTAAACTGATTGTAGTACACCAATGCAAGTAATAAGTAGGAAATAATAGTGTTTTTCAATTCAAATCACATATGGCTCATATTTAAATTGAGTGGAAGTATAGCAATTCAACAAAATAATTGCAGGGAGCTTATCAGAGGACAAAAAAGGTTTGAAGCAGTTTTTTTTCCCTCACGTATATAGAGATCTGGCATTGGTTTGTTTCTTATATGAGGAATGATTTGATTTACTTATCTTTCTAATGACAAATTGTGCTTCCAAGAAACACTGGAATTGTAAAACACTTCCTGCATTCTGTTAAGTAAGAAGGTAAAGAGTCAAGATAAGAAAGATATAGGAACTCTAGAAAGTTGCTATGAAAAGTGTGTGTATGATAGAGTAGATCTGTAACGCATGCCATTTTGGTTGCCATCATGATATGATGGGATGCCTCAGAGAATGTAAACTGATTGTGATTACTCTTGTCTTCCATAATTTTAAATAAAAACAAAGCAAATATTAGAACACTTAACAGAACAAAACAGTCATGTTTAGTCACTGTATTAAAAGTAGAAAAGTTACCTGAAGCTGACACTGGCAAGTGTACACTTGGAATCAGTGCTGAGGTCTGGTAAACTGTCAGCACTGGTTATACCATTTATCTGTTGTTTAGTCAATGAAGTAATTTGTTTCCTGGCAGTTGTCTCAGGTAAATGAGACCAGGCCTATTCTATAAGCTGCTGTGGCACAGCTGTGTACCTGTTTGCAGTTACGGTGTGTGATTCCTGACTGACTTTTAGAGAAACAGTGACAGCATAGACATAATTGTGCCAGGAGAACCTTCTTGCAATTGTAGTTCTTCATATTTGGATGGGAAACTGTGGCTGAATTAAATTTTATTGGACAAGATTTTTTCACTGCTAGAATCCATCAGAATCTAAACTCATTTCTTTTTGTTTTATAAAACTAAATCATAAATACAACTAGAAGAAAGGAATATAAAGGTGTGCCTGTATCTCTTCTGTATTTTGCTGTTGGGTGCTTTTGCTATAAACTGGTGTAAAAAAAAAAAACAAAACAAAAAAAAAAAAAAACACCTCTGTTGACAGTGTTATTTCTCATGTGAAATCTCTTCTTTTTCATCAGCTTAATGGAGATGTGTAGCCTGTTTTCCTGACAAATAATTCCTCAATAAATTTCAGTAAATTAAACTGGAAGTTGTGAGCACTTGAAAGTACAGGTTGTAATACAATCAACTTAGTACCTTTGCCTGGCAACTGTGATTGTGTATTGCTGATTAATGCTAACAAGAGTTAAATATACTCTGAAGAAAAATGCTTATTTTTTAACTGACTGTAGTACTTGTTTTCAATCTAACAGGAGGAACCAGAGCTGGTTAGTGCAATTTATGGACGAGGGATAGCGTACGGAAAAAAAGGACTCCATGTAAGTAAATAATTATTGAAAGTAAAACTTAATGAATTATTTGAATCTAAACTATAAGAAGGCCTGTCATAGGAGGAGGAGCTAGATTGGTTAGAACTTGATAGATACATACCAAATTGCTTTGTGCTGTCTTGCTATAGTGGTACTGAAGTACTCCGCCTCCTTCTCTCGGTAGATACTCTGTAACATAATGATCTCTTGTCATAGAATCATAGAATCATTTTGGGCTATACTGCATGGCACATGGGTACGTTATCTTTGTATGAGTGTGGAAATAAAGCAAGGGTGCCAAAGGAGAATATAGGTCCAATTGTGAGTGGTGAATAGTAAGGCTGAGGTCTGGGAGCCACATTCACTGGAAAGCATTAACTAAAAAGGTAACAAGCAAAATCTTCTAAGAGATGGTTTTTTTCAACTCCCACTAAATTTAGTTTCATATCTTGTCAGTATTTAGAAATGAAGAAGCAATATGGAATGACCATCAGCTCTTGCAATCCAGTAGGCTTTATATTGCTTCTTGATTGCCACGCTTCATGAAATTTGTGTTTCTTTTAATTTGTTCAAAAAGATTTGAAATAAAATTATTTAGAGCTGCTCAAAAATTTATTGGGCAGAAATAAGTTTTAAACTAACTTGTGTTTCTGTAGCCTATTAACTCGAGATTCTGGATATTCTAGGGGGAAAAAGAATTGAATTCAAGTTCTTGAAAATTTACTTTACTCTGTGCAGGATCTTTAATTCTTCACAGTTGCTGATGGGAGATCAAAATCTCTCATATTTGTAACACCATTGTGGTTTGTTGAGTTATATTGCAAGTTTAGACAGTAATAAAAGAATGCTTCTGTGAACAATACTGTTGAGTTACAAAAAGATGGTGATTAGCACCTTGGAAATTTCTTTGCCTTAAAAAAGATGAATGAAATCTAATTGAGAACTTGTTATATAACCAGTTTTAGTTTTTTTTTTCTTTTTTTGTAGGTGAGGTAACTGCTCCCATCCTACAACTTATTGAGGGATATATAAAGGCTTAGACTAGATCCTGATGTCATCAATCTATTTGCCAGAACTCCTAACATTAAGTTATAGATGGTACTCATGTACCAGTCACTGTTGTAATTTTGTGTAAGAGCTTGATCCAGCTTTTCTCCCAAGAAGGATAACTGTGGATCTGTAAAACTCCATGTTTATTCAGTTACATAAATGAGCTACTAGAAGGGTAACACACAGTTGATATGTACAAGCAGAGTTTGTTTCTGTTAACATGTAGGAGTTTTTTCGGTTATTTGTTGTGTACTGCATTTTAGTCTTGTTAGCAAAGGTGTGTAAGGCATCTTTACCAAATTAGTTTTTCTTTGGTCTTTGGAGTATATTACTGTAGGTATGCACAGTTGTTTACCTTGTTTTTCTTTCATTTCAGGATATGAAAAATGCTGAACTTGCTCTTTTTGAGCTTAGTCGGGTAATTAGTCTAGAACCAGATCATCCTGAAGTATTTGAACAGCGAGCAGAAGTGAGCATTTTTTCCTCTTTTCATCTTTTGGAAGTTATTGCTGTTATATAGTGTTGTCAGTGTAATTTCTGGAATGTTCAACTTTAAAATTAAACGTGGCATTACTGTAGCCAATGGAATAGCACTGTGTTGCAGCTTATTGTTAGTACAAGTTGGGGAAATACCCACCTTACCACCTTACAAAGAACAAATTTTTAATCAAATGCTTTGATTTTATGTTTATGAATATAAATAAAATGTCATTCAGAGATGCAAATAATTGTTATTCAGCCAATTAAGCTATTGAAAATGGATTTCAAAAAGCTGAGTTAGATAGCTCAGGAGCATGCTTAACTCAAAATAATGTATATTAATAGTAAATGCCATAATATGAAATAGTAAGTCATAATTTTCATGTTTTTAATTGCTTCTAATACACTTTATAGTGACGTTTATCTACAAGATGTGAAAGGTGTTCATTTAAAAGGAAAATGGACAACTTTTGGTTGGGTGGAATGTTTTGCCGTTATTGAAAAGGATTATGAGAACATCTTAATTACTTTTCCAGTTGATTATGTTGGCATTCTTTGAAATACAATATTTTTCTTTGACTTATTTTTTATTTGAAATACTAAGTTTCTGCAAATAGTGGTGATAATGGTGAAGTACAGTTGTATTCCGGGGGAAAATGCTTTCAGATTTTCCATTTTATTTATAAGAGTTTTGAAGAAGAAAAAAAAAAGGCACTGAAACATACATATTTACTTGCCTCTTAGATACTTTCACCACTGGGACGAATCAGTGAAGCATTATCTGATCTCACCAAAGCTATTCAGTTACAACCATCAGCACGGCTCTACCGACACAGAGGTACACTGTACTTCATATCTGAGGTTAGTAGATTTGGGGGATCCTGTTTGGTTCTGGTTGTGTGGGTGTTTCTGTTACTGTCCTTTTCTGCTTTTAGTACCAGTTGTTACTTGTTGTTCAAGAGCATCTTTGGTATTTAAATGTAAAAAAAGACGTCCTGTTTTTTCTGTATTTAACTTTCCAGTAGTTCAGAGGTATTATTCGTTTGTTTCATCTGCTTATCAATTTAATGCAGAGAGCAGCTGTATGGTTTACTTTAACTGCACATCTCTAATTATTTTGTTCATTCTAGGAATCAGATATAGATATCGTTTGTTTTGATTTATAACCTACAGCTACATGTAGGCAGTATTTTAGATATCAATCTCAAAAGGAAAAAAGATATGGCCAATGCAGTAACTACAATATATCTCAATAAGTAAATAAATACAAAAAATTCTAATATTCTATTTTGTTGTGTGTCAGTTGTCTCACACATTGGAGATATGTTATTTGTTTTACACTAAGGATTGTCTGAATGCTCAGTAGCTGATAACTCACTTTACTCTGATTTCACTTTCTGTCTAGCTATTTTTTCAGTTTTCTGTATGTCATATAGCTCTTGCTGAAAATCAGGTTGGAACTGTATTATGCATCTCTTGTTCTTAGATATTTTGAGTGGCAGTTGACAATTGTTGCTGCTTAACCCTGAGTCTAACTTTCTATATCAAACAAAATTTTATAGTTTAATTTTATTAAGATATAAATTTGTGTTCCTCTTCATTTGTATTTTTCCTCTGTCATCTGAAATGTGCTTTATTGTAGGATTATGCAACAGCCCATGAAGATTTTCAACACTCACTGGAACTGAACAAAAATCAGCCTATAGCTATGCTTTATAAAGGCTTAACATTTTTTCACAGAGGACTTTTGAAGGTAAAGTAATATTAAATAATAGTTTATATAGAACAAGCTAGATGTTGATATAGTTTTATATTTTTCTCACATAAAGTATTTTTTAAGGCATAAGAGTACAAGCAAAATGAAAATGCAATTGCTTTTGGTTCCATTGCTAACAACGTAATGCTCCATAATATGATATGTAAGTACTGCTGACCTTGCTGGATATCAATGAATATACAGTGCATAACTGATGATGTGTTTATGTAATACTTTCAGAGATGTTTGTATTTGGCATCCCTGAGAACTCTATGATTTATTCCATTTTTTTTTTTCCATGGAATGAAGACTCCCTAGGGGCTTGTAAAAGGGAAGGGGATGAAGAGAAAATAATGCTAAATTATTCCTTGAATGGGCTAGAAGAGGATCAAGGGAGCTGCTAATATTATGTTGGTGTCTTTACAGGAAGCCATTGAATCTTTCAAAGAAGCTCTGAAACAGAAAGCAGACTTCATAGATGCCTATAAAAGTCTAGGACAAGCCTACAGGTAATGACAGTCAGAAATAGTTTAAAACTCTTTTTCTATATAATTATTTAAAATGCACTCCTAGATTTCACACACATGTTAGAAATCCATACAGAACTGTATGTGTATTTGGTGGGTTCTCAGGCCAGTATGGCATGTCAGATGTTCAGTACAAATTATTTCTAGGTTTCCTTTATAGTTTTAATTCAGTTCCCAGGAGCTCCTAATCAAAGGTTAGGTGAGTAGCAGATATTTAGCATACCTAAATCATATCTCACAGATGTTTTCTTTAACAATGGAAACGTTTAGTACAAAATACGTTTTTGTATTTCACTTGATTATTGTGCTCATTAGTTGCTGAGATTATTGTGCTACTTAAATTTATGAACAACACATTGTGTTGTGAATGTGGCTTCTTTAGCAGCAGTTGTCTGTTAGATCCTTCATAAGTTTCTCTCTTGTCACAGCTACAATTTGAGAATTAATCTAGCTAGGCTATTTTTAATGTAGTTAGGTAGTTACTTTCACTATCAATTAAAGGAAAAGAAGTTCCAAGCTTGATTTAAGTAGTACTCACTTCAAAAAAAAAAAAAAAAAAAATTACATCAAAAATAATTTAGTTTACTGTTGAATGAAATGTGTTACTCTAAAGGTGGTCTGCAGATAACTGTTAAGGAGAAAAATATGCATACCTTGTAGATGAGAAGATAAATTAGTTGTCAACTGATAATCTCTGCATGCTGTAGTTCTTTCCCCTACCTGCTCTCTCTTGTCAGTTCTTTATTTCATATTTTATCTTTGGACGTTGCTGATCTACAACATGGATGCTGCTGCAGAAAGAATGTATCTCAAGGGTTAATTTAGTTGATTCAAAGGTGTTAACTACAGATTTTTAGTTACATGATTGTGTGCTCTTTTTCTGCAGGCTGTATGCTTCCTTCAGCATACACAACATGCATTTTTCACTGAAAGCAGTGGATTACATTTGTTGTAGAATCATTGAATATCCTGAGATGGAAGGGACCCATAAGAATCATTGAGTCTGGCTCTATACAGGACCACCCAAAAATCAGGTCATATGTCTGAGAGCATTGTCCAGATGCTTCTTGAATGCTGGCAAGCTCAGTGCCATGACCACTGCCCTGGAGAGCCTGTTCCACACCTCAAAGACTTGTTTCGGACAGTTGGAGAATTCTTGCTTTGCTTAAGGAAATTTTCCCATGATATTGCATTCCTTTTTAATGATATCTACTGTGGACACATGAAAACAACTTTTTTTTTCCCTTTTGTATTCCATGCTTTACACTTTATGGAATTTCGTAGGGAACTTGGAAACTTCGATGCTGCTACAGAGAGCTTCCAGAAGGCTTTGCTGCTAAATCAAAATCATGTCCAAACATTACAGCTGAAAGGAATGATGCTTTATCATCATGGTAGCTTAGATGAAGCGCTGAAGAATTTTAAGGTATGCAGTGGAAGGTCTTAAGTTAATAAATTTAAAGATGTTTTAACGAGGAGTAGCAAACAAGAAATGTTTAAAAAAAACACAAGGTTTCACATTCTGAATGCAAAAATGATTGTGCATTTGTATTAAAACACAATTTTGAAGTCGTAAAAAGAAACTTAAACCTTAAAGTTGAAGACTGGAAATGAAATTTGGCTGAAACCAAAGATACTTCATCCAACTGCAGGATGAATTTCTGAAAACCAAGCACTAGTTGAAAAGTTTTCTGTTTTTTGCTAATACTTACTTTGAGTTGAAGCCTAATGTTTTTTTTTTTATAATTAAGGGAAGAAAGTATTTAGTTTTCTTTCTAATTTTAAGCTTAAAATATGCATACAAATTTTTAGTGTTTATATTTTTTACTTCCTTTGTTTGAAACCACCGTCACTATACAGTGATCTGGGTAGCTTGCTAAAAAAGCCAACAGTGTGTGTTTCTGTAGATAAACAAAATCTTGCTTCTTTCTGTGCACATTAAGTAACAGCCTCATTTTGCAGGCAAAACAATAAAATATACGTTGATCAGGTGTTCATATCCTAAAAAAATACTTGAAATGGGATATCCACATGAGTGTTTCACTTCCTGAAGGAATCATAGAATGGCCTGGGTTGAAAAGGACCACAATGATCATCCTGTTTCAACCCCCCTGCTATGTGCAGTGTCGCCAACCACCAGACCAGGCTGCCCAGAGCCACATCCAGCCTGGTCTTGAATGCATACAAGGATGGGGCATCCACAACCTCATTGGGCAACCTGTTCTAGTGTGTCACCACCCTGTGGGTGAAAAACTTCCTCCTAAACGAAACCTCCCCTGTCTCAGTTTAAAGCCATTCCTTCTTGTCCTATCACTATCCATCCTCATAAACAGCCATTCCCCCTCCTGTTTATATGCTCTCTTGAAGTACTGGAAGGCCACAGTGAGGTCTCCCCGGAGCCTTCTCTCCTCCAAGCTAAACAAGCCCAGTTCCCTCAACCTTTCTTTATAGGAGAGGTGCTCCAGACCTCTGATCATCTTAGTGGCCCTCCTCTGGACCTGCTCCAAGAGTTTCATGTCCTTCCTGTACTGGGGGCCCCAGGCCTGGACGCAGTACTGAGTAGACGGCAGAGCTGAGTAGAAGGGGACAATCACCTCCCTCTCCCTGCTGGCCATCCCTTTTTTGATGCAGCCCAGAACACAGTTGGCAGTGCTTATCCCAAAGGGTGTTGTGTCAGCCATTACATGTATCTCTTCTATAATGCAATTTGTAGATACTGGTGTAATTGAAAAGATGCTTAAACTTTTAAGGCAAATATGCTTTTCTAAAGAGATGTAACTGTTGGAAAAAGAATCTGTAATACTGAGTGTTTAAGTATAAACTTGTTCTGTGTTTAACATATAGTAAATATTTAACTAACGTAATGAAGTACTGTAATGCATGAACTATGGAAGATAGGGATTGAAGAAATGACATAACAAAAGTGTTGAACTATTAAAAAATAGCCCATTATTAGTATCATCAGGAATATGGTTTTTTCCTAGTTGAATGAATCTAATCAAACTGTATGCTATTACCATTAGTGCAAACATGATCTACCTTCACAACAATGAAAGTGAGATAAAAAGCACATTTACACTGGCAGTTTCTTTTGTTTTCTTTAGTGAAGCTAGAAATAGTTTTCTGTCTTAGGAATTTGATGATCAGCAACTCTTGAAAGAAAATTTTGATGTAATATGGAACTTAATTATTAATAGATGTTTTCATTAGTGAAGGTCTGACTGAACAAGTTAGCTCATTTGAAGACATTCATTCTCTCTTTCTTGATCAATGGGTGCTTTGTTCCTTCAATCTCTTAGAGGTGTCTACAGCTAGAACCATACAATGAAGTATGTCAGTATATGAAAGGACTCAGCCATGTTGCAATGGGACAGTTTTATGAAGGCATTAAAGCTCAGACTAAAGTTATGTTAAATGATCCACTACCAGGCCAGAAGGCTAGCCCAGAGTATCTGAAAGTGAAATATCTCCGAGGTGAGTTGAAATTTTTGTTTGTTAATTTTGTTGTTTTTTTCTTAATTCCTCTGAAAATGCACACGTGCTCATAGTCATGGCCATTTTAAAGAAACCATTGTGTATTCTAATGAGTGCTGTAGAGTATGTCATCCAAAAATGTACATGCTTAGCAGTAGATAATATGGTTAAAAGTCAGCACCATAAGTCAAATGTATTTTTCTGTGTACTGGTAAATACTCATCTGAAGTAGATGTATTTCTGTTTTAGAAATTAGCTAATAGCAAAATGTCATTACCTAAAAACAACATCTTATTAAAATCATATTAGATAACTGACAAATATATAACCTGTGGTTTCATATAACTACAGAAGTAAACTGATGTACAAATTTGTTTTAATTTTATTTCTTTCCTCCAGAGTATTCTAGATACTTGCATGCACACTTGGATACCCCTCTTACAGAGTATAATATTGATATAGATCTCCCTGGAAACTTCAAGGACCACTGGGCCAAAAATCTTCCTTTTCTCATAGAAAATTATGAAGAACAACCAGGGTTACAGCCACATATAAAGTGAGTATTTTTAATTTATTTAAGCCTTCTCCAATGTTTTTTAAAATCTTGACTTCTGAAAATGTGATTCTGAGGCACTTAGACCTGCCTTTTCTGTGTGCAAGTTCTTTTTAAAATCTCTGAGATTGGAGTTGATTTATTTCATAAGAAAGAAAGAATGAAACTTAAGATAGTTTTTGCAAGTTGATCTTCACATAGTCAAGTAATATTGTTTTTACTTTATATAAAATTATTTATAATAATTTTAATTATTTAAACTTCTGTTTTGTTTTCTTTGCAAATAACGTTAAGATATAAGTTTGAGATCCTCAGTACAGTATTATAGTACCCTTGCTACAATTTCTTCCTATGTGCTTTTATTTCATTATGGGTGTAATTTCCCAGGCAGTAAGTAGATTTTTAGGAACAGCTGAGTTTCACTGGGAAAAATATTCTCTAGAATAATTTAGGTAATCAGTATTTTAGAAGGAGCATGATTTCAGCCAACAAAATAGGAGATGTATTAGGCTATTCTTTAGAAACATGCACCTGAATAAAGGGTAGTAATTTCACCTGCTGTAAATGCATTTCTAGATATATTCTCCTGTATTCCTTCTATCTGTGTATAATGCTGAATTAAGTGTTTGGCTTTTGTGTGGTTCTGTTCCATATACACAATTTGTATTTTACAGAATTAAGAGAGAGGTCATAGAAATAAGGCTTCCAGTTTCTATATGTATTCTTTCCTTATTTAGTGTTGAGGTTCCTCAGGATATATCCACTGAAGGATGGTGTGTTGTCAGTTAAATCAGTGCCACTTAATATGAGAGGGTCTGAAGGCAAAATAGCTTTTGACAATAATAGTAGGACCAGGATTTGATTTCAGATATAGAGTTTAACTGCCATATACTGTGTGTGTTTGGTGACAGTGAGGAGAAATGGCTGTTCTTTATAAAGCTTTTGAGTATTTCCCACGCAAACTGTATTTATTACCATACAAACAAATTGTTTTATAACTTCCAGGATTTTTGTTGCCAAGTTATGTCTGATGTATGTTTTTCTTTCTGTTAGAGATGTATTGTTTCAGAATTTTGAAAGCTATAGGACTGATGTGCAAGAACTCATATGTGTAGCTGATCATCTGGGTTCCATGATGCAGTATGAGACACCAGGATTTCTTCCAAATAAAAGAATACACAGAGGTATACTGGAAAAGCTCTATAAATTTGAAAAATAAAAAGTTAGCGTAGTTACAATTTAATGCTCTGCCTTTGCTATCTGTATAAATTTATCTTAAGCTTTATGCATTTGAAATAATTAAATAAATAGTTTTAAAATGAAAATAATGGTATCAGCAATTTGGTTGGAAATTGTGATCTCCCTGTTCAGATTGATGTTGACAGTTTTGTCTGTAAATACATCACTTCTCTGCTTTGGTTTTATTGTCTGTATGAAAATAAGTGTCTTGTTCTAATTGATTTTCTACTTGTGTTGTTTGTCTTTCTTTTCTCCCACCTCCCAGCAATGGGTTTGGCTACTTTAGAGGTAATGCAAGCTGTGCAGAGAACTTGGGCAAACTCAAAAGTTCGGATGAATGGGAAAACAAGACTGATGCAGTGGAGGGATATGTTTGATATTGCTGTGAAGTGGCGAAGGTAATGGTAAAAGAAGAGAGAAAACAAGCCTTAAGTTTAACAGTGGTGCATGCTTCAATTAACCAAGGGGCTGAAGTCAGAACAGGTAGAACAATTATTCTTTCCTTGCTAGAAACAGATGGATGTTAGCCTATGTACTTGAATGTATCTTTGTGCATATCCTCATCCAGTCTGAAAAATCCAATGCATTCCTTAACGGGCTTTGTAACAGTACATCATCTAAATGAAGAGCTTAGACTGAGGCGTTTTGGGGTTTGAGTGGTGTTTACATGGTTTGGTTTTTTGTTTGAAGTTTGTAATGTAAACAGAGTAGACTAAAACAGAAATGTTTTATAAATATGGATGGGATCAGTTCTTGATCCACACATTTATATAATCAGATTCATCTGAAAAATTTGAGTTTGGGACTTTCTTAACATGTCTCCCAGTTTGCTTTTCTTTCACTTCTCTGAGTGCATAAAACATTCATCATAAGAATGTCTTTCCTCTCATTTTCAACCAATTTTTCTGTTTGTAGAGAAGTACATAGTGCAGAGCTTTTTGGCACTGAGCTACTACTAATAGAGCTGTTAGTTATAACTTTGTTACAATTAGATCAACTGCCAATTGTTTGGAAGTTATTCATATAATGTATAATTGTTTACTGATTTCTATTTTAGGAGATCCTTTCTAGCCAAATTCTGCCCTTTAATACTCCATTTATCTATGTCATGCCAATACCACTTTATGTGCCTGGTATCAGTAGCCCTTTCTGGTGCCCAATTCTTTCGATAGAGGAATAAAAAACATAGGATGTTCTTATTTGAAGTTACACACAAAGCAAATTCTTCAGAGTTATTAATAGACAAAATCTGTAGTAACATAGCTATGTGATGATTATCACATTGGTCTCACCACTTCAGCTACCTTAGTGAGAAAGCTACCAGCTTGGGCTCCTGGTCCATAGGTAAGCATCTGCACTGATTAAGCCCAGTGATTAATATAACTTTGCAATCTGTCAACCATAAGGGCCAAATATAGGTAATTAAGAAAGTTAGAACAAGCACATAACAGACATCAAGAATACGTTTGCAATCTGCCATATTCTTTTGTGCATTTCTTGAGTCAGAGTTCACATTTTTCTATCATTATTCTGGCAGTAACTTTAGCAATTAAGAGTAAGAATGAATTGAAGCATATGTTTGATTTGTTTTTTGGTTTTTTTTTTGAGACCAAAAAGTCAAAATACAGCATTTATATTGGTTTAATTCGTTAAAAACAAAATCCTGTAAGATATCTCTCATAATAGTTAATATTAGTCCATTACAAACTGGCATACTGTAAAGTTGCAAAGTCTAACTTCCTTTCAGGAGATTTTTAATTCGTCCATTTTTAATTCTATATGGGTATTGGTATTGGCATTAATACATCACTCATAATGTTGTGTTTAATTTTTCAGAAGAGCAGTTTTGAATGCAAAAAATTCTCCCTTAGAACGAGTGAAACTTACCATAGGAGGAATCCTGTATATACCTTAGTCAGTAGGAAAGTATTATTGTTTGTGGGTTCTGTTGGCAATGAGATATCTTTCCTTTTGTCCAGAGCACCCTAAAGATGGAGTAATCATAGGCACATTTGATTGAAGAATCCCAATTATTGTAGGGTAACTAATTTTGTTTGTTTATGTGACAGTAGCATCTAGAAGCCTTAGTGAAGTTGAGTCTCTACTATGCTTTTTTCTTCTGCAAAATAAAAGGCAATTTGTGTGACCAAGACCCTATTGTGTAATAGCAAGTTAAAGTATGTAGGTGAAACAAAGAAGAATAAGAAGAAATACGGTAATATTATAGTGTTAGTAGTAATCGTGCAGATCAACTAGATATAGGCCAATTAGGAGCAGCAATCAGAGTGATAGCTTCTCCTTAAAAGCACCTACTCAAGACATGTTTGAAGCATATCAATGGGACAGCACAAGGAAAACATCTGTTGTCACTACCTGGGCTACTGTTCTTTATTTATTAAATGAAAGACATCAAATGCAATAACCCTTATTACTATGCTACTGAATTTTAAAGAGGAGAAAATGAGTGCTAACTACCACTCTATAAGTAGAAAGTATTCTGATAAAACAGAATGATGCTTTAAGCATTGGGAGTGCACTTGGGAAAATACTGATTTCCCTTTTTAAAAAAGTGGGGGAGATGTTTGGAGTGAATTTTTGTGATTGAAGCAAAGCTGTGAAAGACCTTAAGATACTCTGCAACTTTGTTTGAAGCCCTTATTTTGTGTGAGCCATAGCTACGTGAAATGCTTAATAATATTCTTAGGAACATCCTAGGTATGTTTCACTTCTTTGTGACCGCCTATTTCTAGCTTTTGCCTAAAATTATTTTGTGTAAGAATGAAGTTCAATTAGAAATATGACATGGATTGAAATGTGTGCCAATAATAATGTCTTTTGTCTTTGTAGGATAGCAGACCCTGACCAACCTGTGCTTTGGTTGGACCAAATGCCTGCACGAAGCCTTAGCAGAGGTTTCAATAACCACATTAATTTAATCAGGTATGAGATTTTCCAAAATTTTTCCACACACACTAAGGAACTGAAATTTACTGCTTGTTTGTGAAACAGTGTGCTGTAATAATCAATGCAAAGTGCTTATCGTTTTGCATCAATATTTATTGTTTATTTTCTAATGGACCATTTGTTTTTTGTGCGCACTCCTGATTTTCCCTCATGACAATTCCTCTTTCTCCCGGATTTCAGGGGATAAGTAGTACCTGGAAGATGCATATTTTTACATGCTGTTTTTAATTCCCAAATGATCTAAGGTTTATATTTCAGCTAGAGTTCATCACAGTTTTAATTCTTACAAACACTGCTTCTTCAAGACATTGGCAGTGATTATGAAACAAAGCAGTTCTGTTACCATTGTTCCTGACTTATAGTAGAACAAAACAGTCCTTGTTTAGTCTCAGAGAATGTCAGATACAGCAAAGGTGACACAAGTAAGTAACCTGACAAGGGTTATAGGTGCACTTTCAAACAAAGGTAAAATTTAAGATTCAACCACTGTTGTACGTTCCATCTTCTCCCATGCTGCAAGACTCAGTATTGCAGTCAAGACAGCGCTACTGCCCAGTAAGTGGTAGAAGTGTGAGAGACTCGATGTGGCAACATCACTGTCAATCACAGGAGCAGAGGGTGTTTGTAAGTGAATACATAAGCAAGATTTCATCTTTTCTTCTCCCCCACTATCGGAAGTATTGAATCCTTGATCTGTCATTCTGCTTTTATATCTGTTTCTTCCTTTTTGAGAAAGCAACTGGAAAAGGACGGGAAAAAAAGCCTTCTTGAGAATAATTTTCTGTAGAGAAAAACAGTGATAATCTGATGTTCACAAGCAGAAGCTAATGATCATTTCTCCCCATTCTTCCTACCGTTCTACTAGGCTGCCCTTTGCTTTAGGGAGCAGTTACAATGTAGTTTTTAATTCCATGTGGAAATCAGTGTTTGCTCTAAGAATGTGCCGATTTTTGGACTGTGTTATGCTCAGGCTTCTGTCTTTCTTCAAATTAAATATTAAATTTGGGTTCCAAACTGTCCATCTTTGCTGTTGCTGCATTCCTCTTTTTACATACCTGAGATCCAGCTGAAATAACAGCAAGCGGTTCTTTGAGACAAGGATGCTTTCCATACTTAATCTGTTTCTATCTGTTCTTAAATTGGAGAGGAAGAGCTTAATTCCTATGTGGTCTGAACTTGCAGAAGACAAAGGCATTCGTGTTACAATGCTTAATTACTATGCTGAAATAAGACTGAACATTTAATCTGCAGAAGTGCATCTCTTCTGCAGGATGTCTGTTTGCAACTCTGTTTTTCACTGGCCAAAGTACTTTGATTGCAAGTGTTCTCTGCTGAGAGAAAAACAAAACTCAATTCTCTGGTCCATTTATTTTGGTGATGCTGCAGAAATTTGAAATAAGCCTTATGAGTACTCAGAATGGAAGGCCCACAGCTAATCAAACTTTAATCTCATGGGTTTGTATCAGCCTTGATTTTTGGAGGCCTCATCACCATTTTTATCATACTTTTTAATAACAAATTGATAATTCTCTGCAAGTTACTCTTTTGGGGCTTTTTTGGAAGGAACAATAGATTTAAAACAGCCTTAGGAGTTGGTCCTACTTAGTACTGGTTGCTAATGACATCCTTTTTAACTCTAGGAATTGGTACCTGTTTGATCACTTTGAATCCCAAGTAATAGCTGTTTTTGTTGATTAACTTTCCATGGTAGTGGTTTGTTTCTGCTTTTGAATTCTCTCTTGATGATTTCACATCAGGTGCCAGATAAAAGAAATTAATATATCCATGTGGTAATATGTTTGTTAAAAAAAATTGCTTTTGAAACATGCTTAAATTCTTTATGGTTTCTAAACAAAAATTTAGTAGGTTATTAAGTAACACAAGGAGATTATGCAGACCTATTCAACAGGAAAATGGCTGCAAATTGAAGATAATTATAGGCTACAGAACTGTCACTTTCTTATTGACAATTGAGATCATCTTATGGTCTTTTAGGTGTTTTTCAGGATCACTGCTTTATATTAAGCTTACGATTTGAAAATTATTCTGAATTCTTCTTAGATCATGGCTATCTGAAAACTAAGTATAACAGATTATCTAGTCTGACAAATGGCATCTCTTCATGATTATTAAATATGCTCTTCAGTCAAATAAGAAGTGCATCAATAGCAGTAGAGTGATAAAGTATCAGTCTTCTGTTCTGTATCCCAGTAGTAGATGTGAAAAGAGATGGTTAATGGTTTTTGATTTCCTGACTTACTATGGACTCTTCTGACAGTAGCTTAAATAATACTTAGTAACAATAATATTTTGGCATTCTGGCTTCTTTGGAAGTATGTATTAAATATGACTGCAAGTACTGAGTTTGGTTCCATGCAGTTCATACTGGTAACTACAATTTCCTCAGTTGCACTGATTTCATGGTATTGTACATAACTTGTAGTATTACTACACCATGCATCTGTGCAATTTATTTGGCAAAAATGAGGACTGGGTAGCTCTACAGGAGGGGAATAGTGGAAAGCAGGGAGGAATCGTCTGTTTAAGCTAGTTAGCCACTGAAGGACTTTAGAAATGGAACTTGATTTTGTTGTTTTAGTATTCATGACAGCTCTAGTCATGCTAAGCTCAAGCTATTTCTAGCTTGTTTGGTACGAACTATGCACAAGTAACTTCTGTGTGCAGAAGTACTTGGATTAGACACCTGTTAGCATAAACATTTTCTTTACTCAGAATTCTTTGCATTTGCAGTCCAGGATTTTCCTGACAGATGAGTCTTGATATGGAGACACTAGCATTCAGTGACTACTGAATTCAAGATCCATTGTCAGAATGGCATAGTGATTGAAGAGAGTCAGAAAACAATTTTGGTTTTTTGTTTTAATTTGGAGAGCTTTTGTTGAAAGTGTGTAAGAGAAGTCTTGTACTTCACTATGCTTGATAGGCTTCTAGGTTTGAGTGGTCTTGAGATTCAACTGTATTGGCTGTCTCTACTAACTTGTGGGTCTATACTCAATTTGGACTGTGCTTATTTCTCTTCTGGCAAATAGTGAAACTTGGTAACTTTGATTTACATTAGAGAAAATGTTTTTGAAAGCTTGAGCTATTTCTGTGGGCAAAACAGGAATTTGGGATCAGCTAAACATTGGTGATGAGTATATCACTCTGTGTTTTGACAAAAAAAATAAAAACACTCTCTGGAACACTGTTACTTTTGAATCGTTGATGGTAGTGTTCATCAAACAAGAAGACAGTGGGAATAAGCAAAAATAGTGTCTGAGCACCCACTAAAAGTCTTCTCCTATACTATTGCTTGTAGATAGCTTTACAGACAGGTCTGATTTGGGTGTATTTTCCAAGATGCCACTAAAGGAAAATCCAGTTCCTTATTCTGACGTGCTTCTGCCTGTTGTACAGATATTTTAAAAACAAATGGAAAATGATGGGACGTACAACAAGGGCAAATAATGTATGGAAACTTATCTTTGTCCTTCCTCTTTCTTTCCCTCCCTGCCTCCCTTTACTTTGTGCAGATATGTATGTATTCTAATTCTGTTCAGTTTTTGAAGAGTGATTCTGCCATTACTGTGAGAGTAGACCTACTGAAGTGTGAGATGGTGGAGTGAGACATTAGGGAGTTAAGCTGCCAAAATCACCTGGAGTGAATAAAAGCCAAGTATATACACTTTCCTGTGATTCACCTTCCTGTGATTGACAGTGGTCTTGCTTCCTCAGAGAGCGATAACATTACTTTATAAAATCTTGTTTTGTAGACTGGGAGAAGAGGAAGGACTCCTACAAATGCAATAATGGTATGTAATTTTTCCTCTCAGAGTGGTTAGTATCCTAGCAGAGTTTTACCTAGTTTTTATTTACATTTTTTCAGTGTTCTGTGGGGGAAAATGAATTTATTTTGTTCTCTTCCTTCATTAGTTAGTATTCCTAACTGTTAGGAATCAAAGCAGAATTAATTCAATATGTAGAAGTTCAGATGAATAAAGAAAACTGTACGTGGACTGTCAGAATGTATCAGCCACATGTCTTGGCAAGTATATAAGTTGGGGAGTTGTTGGATCTCAAAGTAAGTCAGTATGCACATTAATAGTTCTCTCTTAGCTCTTCAATTTCTACTAGTCTAAAAGTCTAAGAATTATATCTTTTTAAGAATTGATAATTATCATATAGGTAATGGATATGCAGAAAATAAGAAAATACCTGTGAAATACAGTTCATCTGAGAACAGTTCGAATGATACATGAGTTTTTGCAAGTTCATCTTAGAATCTGCATTCAAAATCGGAGATGGACAGTTGCCACTTCAGAGACACCTCTAGTCCTTTTCTTCCATCTCAAAGCATACGTGGATAAAATTGTCAAGCTTCTAATGAATAATGTTTGTGTCTTATCCTGGAATGCTGGTCTGAAATACAGGACTTGAAACTCTGTTTTGTTTTGTAGGGGACAGGTGATTAACATGCGGTACTTGGAGTACTTTGAGAAAATTCTTCATTTTATCAAAGATAGGATCCTTGTTTATCATGGGTAAATTACTCATTTATTTATTTATAATCTTCTCTCTCCCCATACCTATTGCTTCACTCCCTTCATGATACTGATTTGAAATGTACATAATACTCATTTCAGAAAGCCTGAAAGATATTTTCTTAATTCTACCCTTCTATTTTTCTTATTGTCTGTAACTGTTATATTTCTGAATGGAAATGCAAATCCTATTATTTGCCACTTAAACTAATAGGAAAATTATTGTCATTACAGTATGCTCATTATTAAAAAATTCTGTTGAATTTCTTCCTACTGTTTTGGCCTGAGTAGGTCTCAATTCTTTCTAAAAATGATTTCTTCAAGATGTCATGTTTCCTCCAGGTAGAACAGAATACAATTTCTCTAATTATAGAGAATAATCTCTTGAACAGTAGAGTGATAAATCCCACTTTTATGAATGAGGAGAAGGGATTATGGAATTTATGGATGGTAACTTTATATGAAACTGGTGTTTGGCAAGTAGTTTTGAAGGAACAGGGAATCTTTACTACTTGTTATACAAATGGGTTGTAGACTTTACAACCATCTTCTGCTCCAGTGCAGAATCTTAAACAGAAGAGGTGACTAAAGATCCTAAAATCATTATTGTTATCTGTTGCAAACTTTGATCATTTTTTAATGAGTAAAATATTTTCATAACCCATAGCTCATTTGTGGCAACAATGTTCTGATAAATTTAAAAATTAAGAAACTCTTAAGTCCTCTAATTTTCCTTTGACCTGATAATTTTTGTTAAATATAGTTCGGTTGTTCGGTTTGATTTTGCTATGTAAATATTGAAAATGAAAGTGCAGAGAAGTCTTAAAACTGTTTCAGATTTAGAACACTTAGAATCCCTTTGTCCACACAGCCAAGCAAACCCAGTTCCACGCTTCAGAGTGACCAGCAAATGAATAAGATAAATTTGAAGTATGTAAAAAGTGAAGTATTAAAGTCTGAAGCTGGAAAAAAAGAAACAGAGGTGATCTGGGATGGAGAGGCTTTGTTATTTAAAAAGGGTGCTAGAATAAATGAGCATGTGGCCAAGTATGAAGGAACTCCTTTTCAGAAAATGAATTGTTTTCAATAACTCATTGGTTAGCTAATTTGATTAAAGAAGTGGATTTTCAAAAATGTTATAAGTGTTCAAATACTGCAATTCTTTATTTAGTTATTTCTTTTTCTAGTGCTAATAATCCAAAAGGACTAATGGAGGTTCGAGAAGCTTTAGAAAAAGTACATAAAGTAGAAGATCTTCTTCCAATAATGAAGGTAAATTGAAGAAAACACTTCAAAATATGTTGAAAATAATACAGTTTTTTCTGGGGTATATCCAGTTCACCAGAGTGTAACAATTCTGTAAAGCTTAAAATGAACAACTTGAAACACTAACTCAGGTTATTTCAAATCTACGTATATAGAGTGTGAGCTTCCCTTTGGTAAATACAGATGTGTGGTGTATATTTGAAAGGCTTGGTCTAATTACAGTAGATAATGTACAAGATGCTGAATATAATTCCTTAAAGCCAGCACTGTCAGCCAGAAAGGTTTGTTGTCAGAACCTCTGTAATGGGCTCACAGTGTATGTGTATAGTATGAAGAAAAAAATTGAAAATGTCTGAAGGATAAGGAACATGCAAGCTCTTCTTGTGTTAGCATCATTCATATAGGTCAGCATGTGGTGGAGGCTGGCAGAGGGGAACACAGGGAAGTGGCTGCCCTTAGCTGACTGATCATCAACCTGAAATTGTGCTTTGCATTTTTGTGCTCTGGAATAAGGAGCTGTTGAAATCTGCAGTTTTTCTACTTGCTGGTGGTGGTCCCTGTGTAACGGTTGTGGATCATGAAACATACCAAATGTGTTAAATACCCTTATCTCAAACCGTGAGGCTTAAGCTAGGTTTAAGTCAGAGGTTTTACCCCAAATTAATCTAGCATGACCGATATGTAAGCATTGAACAAGACTTTATTTAAAATAGAATAAAATTTGGGAAGGAATAGCCATTTAAGTGGAGACAAACTCATAACTTCCTTGTCAGTATGTCTGCACTGTGGTTTCATGAATAGATCATAGATACCAAGCTATCTCTAAGCAAAACTGATTGATTGCCATAGAACAGCTATTTATGATGCATTTGCCTTGCTACTGTTGATGCACTGTCTGGTTTTGACTTTGCTTGCTGTACCACTTGCTTGTGCACTATAGGTAACTTTACAGAAGCTGTGTGGCTCAAGCTCTGAATTTTTCTATGGAGTGTTTTTAATAGGTATTACTGGCAAATGAATATGCAAACAGAGCCCCATAGTATGCCTCTTATGGCTACTGTAGAATCACAGACCAGACAAGAAAATTGCTATTAGTGGAGTTAAAAGTGCAGGTTACTCCAAAACAATGAAAAAAATGTTGTCTAAACATAGTGGACTATATTTGGCTGAGCTTGAAATACGTGTTTCTAAGTACTGGCAGCAAGTATTTTTCCTGGTTTTCATAACCTGTACATTTTGTCTGGTTTAACTCAACTATATCCTATTCTGAATTGTATCTAAGCAGAATGCTGTTTCTCATTAGAGGCTTTTAGATTTGTTTCTTTAAAATAAATGTAGATTCTCTTTAAACATAACATCCCAGATCATAAGTTCTATTTTAAAGTAAATAATTTGTCATAGTAATTAATTCAACACTATTGCACAGTAGTCATTATTAGGGCCTGTATAAATTGAATGCCTGCTAATACTGTCACAGTTTGGTTATTTGGATAGCTGGGGAATGTTGTATGTCAAAAGCTGTGCTTTTGGCTTTACTTAAAAAGAGTTTTGCACGGTTTATACAACTCTGGCTACAGTATTACAGCTAGATCATGCAGCTTTGTGAAATTCTTAAACTCTGGTATTTTTCCTTCTGTTGAGAATAAACATTAATTGAAATTGAATCACAGTTAAGAAGTTGCTATGAGCTGTATTCTGGAATCCATGCTTAAAGCTAATGCATCTGCTTCTCGGGATAAACATAGTACGCAGATTCTCAGATTTCTGCTTTTGCATTTACATTGTTACACTAAATGGTTACTGTCAATATGCAACCTGGGGAAAACTTTGAGCTTTTGAAACTGCTGTATACATTTGATTTTTGTAGGTGATACAATTGTATATGCTTTATGGTTAAATTTGAATGTAATGTTTCCTGATTCAGTACTTCAGTTTTCCATAAAGAAGAAAAAAAAGAATGAAATAATGTAGTTAACTCTGTACTCTTCATCCAGCTTGTTCACTTTCCAGTTTCAGGTGTTTCAGAACAATAGAGGCAGTCTCTTTGCATTCACCCTATAATTACTTTCTTTTCCTTTTGAAAGCAGTTTAACAGTAAGACAAGAGATGGGTTCACTGTGAACACGAAAGTCCCCAGCCTCAAGGATCAAGGGAAAGAATATGATGGGTTCACAATAACAATAACAGGAGATAAGTATGTTTATTATTTGCAGGGGCTTAAATGCATTAAGTAATGATGAAGTATTGGCAATTAATCTTCTCGAATGTCATTTCTACTTGTATAAAGTGGTTTTTGTTTTTTTTACTGGTGACATTTTTGCCACCACTTGTTTATTTCAGTGCTTCTGTTTCCTATCATGTTCCCTAACAAAGAGGGAATATGGATGCTATTTCTGGAGTTATCCTGTTGGGATAATTCTCTAACAGATAGCATATAAAAGAAGGGAGTTTTCAATATTCTTCCTACAGTTTAAAATACCAGAAGGAGGAAAAGTCTTGGTCTTTATCCATATCAAAATACTTTTCTTGTTATAAGCCTTTGTCTGTTATGGAAGCTGGAAAGTGAATGAAAAAGACTATTCTGTTTGGGTTTTGTCTTTTCATTTTGTGTATTCTTTGAGATGTTTGCAGAACCTGTAACTGCACTTACCAGTTTGAGCTATGCATATGCTCAGATGGTACTTTGGGCTGCTCTTTGAGTGAAATAGCAAATTTCTCACTATGGATTCCAGCTCTTTATCTTCTCTAAGAGCATTAGTCTGAAGCTAATTAGGACAAACCAGAAACCCCCTCCAGCTACCAATCAGAGTTTGACTAAAGTCAACTAAAGTTCTTACCTTTTAGTTTATTGTTGTATTAGTTTATTTATGGGCTTTTAAATTCTATGCTTGGTAATTTCCCCAAAACATGTATGCTTCTAATGTGGGGCATGGATTTTGAACTTCTCTTTTGAAGTGTAAATATGTCTATTGGTTTTTAATATTAAATTCTATATTGTACATCTGTATGCAGTGAACTCATGCAAAATGTCTCTACTATTTTAGAAAAATATTTTGGTATCAGCAAAGTGATACAGCATCTTACTCTGTATGCATTTTGTTCCATGTTAATGGTTTGTGACCCATACTTTGTAATTACACTTTTATGCCCAAGGAAGTCATACTTGATGAATTTAACAGTTAACTCTATTTTACATTTTCAAGGCCAAAAAGATATTTTTAAATTAGATTACAATCTTATATATGACAAACTTGCAGCACAACAACATGTTTTTAGATTCAAGTGAGGTTTTTTGTTTGCTTTAATAAAATGAAGGTAATCCACATAATCTCCTACTTAAAGGAAAAAAAGAGAAAATGTTTATGATTTGGTATTTAACTGCTGTGCATTTGTTACTTAGCTTGAATATGTACCAAAAAAATTATCTCCTTTTCTGCTTAATCTGCTTGATAGAGTTGGAAACATATTATTTTCAGTTGAAACTCAGACAACAGAAGAAAGAACACAGCTGTATCATGCAGAAATAGATGCGCTATATAAGGATCTAACAGCTAAAGGAAAAATCTTAATTCTTTCTGCAGAACTGGGGGTAAGCTTGTTTTAGTGACAATTGTGAGTTCCTTGACAAAATTCTATTATGTCTTTATACCTTGTGTTTAACAGTCAATGCCTTAATGCTTTCTGACAGAGATCTTAAGTAATAAAATTGACTGCTTGTTTAAACCTAGTTATGTCAAATAATATAACAAGTTGCCATAATTCCATCTGCTAATGAAATCTGCTCTGCTTTGCTGCAGTAATTGGAGAAAGTCTAGACAAGCTCTTGATATCACAACGTGCTCTGCTGTAGAAGTGCTAGATGTTTTTTCTCCTTTTTCTGTTTGCATGAGTTTGTGGTTGTCATTTCACTGATGAGCACCACTTAAGATCACACAAAGATTTGGTTTATAGTGGCTGAATGCAGGATGAGAAGTAACAAGAACACAATTTTAATGGTCTTTTTCATGTATTTGTGTTCATTTCTGTTGTAATAAGAACCCAACTGTACTTGAGCCTGTATTTTGCACTTTTCATCCTTTTACAGAGCTGTTTCACCTAAATATTTTGTGTTGAGGGACATGGTTTAGTGAGTACTGTTGGTGATAGGTGGATGATCTTAAAGGTCTTTTCCAACCTTGGTGATTCTGTGATATAAAATGCATAACTGCATCTTACTTTTATATACTAGTTGAAATTTTTCACATTTAAAATGGTTATTCTTAAAATAAGTGTTGTAAAATTTTCCAATATGTGTTTGTATATATGGTAATATCTGGATATTAAGCCATTTTTATTTTTTGCCTTTGATTAGGAAGCAGATGCTGTGTGCAACTTGATCCTGTCATTAGTTTATTACTTCTACAATTTAATGCCACTTTCAAGAGGATCAAGGTTAGTGATTGTTTTTATCACATCTGTTTTCTTGGATACACTCTATTAAATGTCCACGTGTATGGCATCTTAACTACAATTTTTTCACTGTCTAAAAAAATTAGTGATCTCTGAGTTAAGCTGTCTGACCTGTACTGTACTGAACTGTACAGGTCCTCATTTTATGCTGCCATGGTGATGAGCACTGATTTTGTACTGTTTTAAACGTTAGTTTGTAATTGCTGATAGTAACTATTCATGGCCACACACAGAAAAAGATGAGTAGTCAGTATTATGGCCTTTAGTTCATGAATTGAAAAGTGTTATTTTTAAGTTGTAATATTTGGGTTCCTAATCCGTATTGTGTTATAGTGCTCAAATTTGACTCAAAAAGCTTCACTGAAAGACACATTTTAGATGAGATACAATTTGGTATAACTTATTTTATGAAAACACACTGCAAATATTATTTTAATAACATTAAAATAATGGGGTTGTTTTTGCAGCTGTTAAAGTTACCAAATGAAATCTTAGCATAAAATATTATATTTCACAGATCTCTGCAACTGAAATTCTAATTTAATGCCAACCTGTCTACATCTAAGACTATTGTTAATCTTTTCCATTTGTTTCAAGTTTACTAATAAACTTATTTCAGTGGAAAATAAATAATCAAGAGAGTTTCATCTCTATAACTAGCCTTTAATTTTCTTACTGAGTGAAAAAATTAACATAAATTGTTTCAGTTTCACAATTAAAAAGAAATATACTGAACAGATGGAATAAGGGGATTTCTTTCTGTTTTGTGGTGTCTCCAGCCTGGTTCATAAACTCATTGGGGCTATAGCTAAGCTTCTTGGAAACAGGAGTTTGTTTTGTATTCAGCTCCATGGAATTTTAAGAACTACCAAACCTGAAATTATAGTTCTCACTACTGTGCAAACAGTGTTCTTCAGTAGTTAAACTCCATAGTATGATAGCTTCATACTAATGCTGTATGTAAGTAACAGTGATTTCACTTTGTGTGTTGCACTTTATTTTTTTTTTTTTATAAAATAGCTAGCACGTAATTTTATGAACCATCTGTGAAACAACTCTATATTCTTTTTTTTTGTATGTGTAGTCTAAAATAATGCTGTTTAAATGCTGTTATTTATTGTAACACTATGGAGAGACTTTTACTGTGGGTATTGTTGGTTTGTTTTAGTGTGATAGCTTATTCAGTGATCATGGGAGCTCTAATGGCAAGTGGAAAGGAGGTATCAGGAAAAATCCCTAAAGGAAAGGTAAGTATCAAGGCCTTGGGGAAGGAGCTGTGAGAATGAAGTTGCATATTTATGTACTGGAGAAGAGATAGCTACTTACAGTGGTGTCTTCCAGCCTGAGAGAGCAAATAAGACTTAGAAATAATATATGCAGTGCTTCTGGTTAGTCAAATTGCAGCAGATTGTGTCCCATAATAATCACGTTTCTAACAGAAGCAATTCTTCTGTGCTGCACTGCTTTTTCCAGCTTTGTTTGAAAAGGGCTCTGAGAACACTTTAGTAGAATGGGTGGCTTTTCTGGACACATGGCAAAAATTTTCAGCACTCAGTGTATCTGTGAGCACTTTAGGCAAGTGAAATGTATTTGCAACTTCTTCTAATACCTCCTTCAGCTCTATATTCTGATTAATACAAAATGTCCTTGTTTTTTAAGTGACTACATTTAAATACTATACCATCTTGCTCAATTTCCCTTTGTTTATTAAATGGTCTGTCTGTTTGCTGTGTTACCTCCTCAGCATGAAAGAAGTGAGAGCACATCTGTCTCTTTAATGCGTTATCAACAAAACATCAGAATTCCAGCCAGAATCAACGTTTAAGAAAATATCCTGTGTGGATACCTGAAAAGAGAGTGACTTTTCCTTCTGTTCTAGAAAGTCCTGAAAACAATGAAGTCTGTCCTCTCAGTACAATGAGTTTAGAAGGCTGATAAGATCAAAAAATACAAAAAGAAACAAACAAGGCCATGAAGAGAATGTATATTGTACATTCTAATAGCTAACAAGTGCATATTAAAAAAAAATTCTTTTTATGCATTATCAGCCTGCTCTGAAGACAAAGATGCCCAGTTATCAGGAGTTCTGTTATTTCCTGGCAGAAAGTTCTGTCAGTAGCTACAGCCATGTATTATTTGTGGTGGTGGAATGCTCAAACCTGCAGACAGCTTTAGTGCCTGGCTTGCAAACTTACTTCCAAATTGTTTGGTGGAGAGAGAGAAGCTGATCTGTGCACAATTCCTTGAATTCAGCCAAAGTTCACTAAACCACAAATGTTTCAACTTAAATATTTCAGTATTAATGAACCAATGTGTTTTGAACACTGGTTTACTGAAAACTTATTAGCTGTAAATATGAAGCTTCCCATAGTTCTTGGCTATGTATAGTTAAACTTGTCTGAAAACTCACTGTGGAAAGAAATAATACAGAACATCTGTGAAGTTCAGAATAAATTTGCCGTTCCTATGACACAGTATTTTGTGGAATACAGTATGTGGAAATGAGAAATATCCTGGTATTAATAGTTAATTGGATGCTGTAATGAATGAAAACAGTATTTTCTGGCACTGACTCAATAGCAAAGACATCTTGCTAAGAGATAATAAAATAAGTTAACTGGATTTAGTCACAAAAAGAGGGTACGTATTTTAAAGTTGAATTTATATATTACAAATATTCAAGGATGAATTTCCTGGAATTAGAGAACTTGAAACTTCTCCCATTTCTTAAGATCTTTTTAATTTTGTTGCATTTTCAGCTTGTTGACTTTGAAGCAATGACAGCACCAGGATCTGAAGCTTTCAGCGAAATAGCAAGGAGTTGGATGAATCTGAAAAGGTAAATCTTTTTGTTCAGATGAGGAGAATGAGGGTGGAGAAGTAAAATGTGAGGAACTTTGTAGGTCAACTTTAAGCCCATACTAAAAGAAGTGACTGAGACATGATGAGTTTAGTAAATGACTCTTTTTACTCTTATCAAACCCTAATTTATAAAGACATTTCTAGTTTAACAGAGCAGCAGTCTAGACACAGTCATCATGTGTTAGTCTCTGAGAAAATTTGTTGATTTCATATTTGCTTTGTTTTGTCCAGTGGCCTAATTTTCCTTTTTTCTGATTTTGTTATTAATGAATCTTGTGACTGAGTGAATAAAACAAGTGAAAAAATGCAACTTGGTTGCTCTTTGCATTATTATGGATCTCTTCAAACTATACATTGGAAGTGGTGCACTTACCCATTAATACTATTTTAATTTGGAGAAAAGGTATCAAAGTAAATGGAGGTTTTGATTCAAGAGAATTGCATTAATATAACTGTGACTTCAGTATAATGCCTACAAATTTTGGTTTTCTAATGAATAGATTTTTGAATATTGAACATTTTAATTCCTTGTCAGTACTGCAAGATCATTGCATTTGATTTGTCCCTTAATAGTTATTCCCTGAACAAAATCTTAAAAATGGGGTCAGAGACCAAAGAAAAACAACAGCAAAAGAGTTTTAGTGTCTTTCAGGTCAGGGTCAAAGCACTTAAATGGTGCTGAGTGAACTGACCAATGTCCTTAGAAGGCTGTAATCTCTGAGAGTTTGTACAGATCACAGGATGTTTGTGGTGACCAAATGAAAGGAAGCCTTTCTTCAAAAGGTCTGAAGGACCATTCAGGGAAACTGGAGGCTCGTCAGCCATGCTTTAGTTGCTAAGTCAGTCATGAGGTCTTTCCTCTGGCAAAGGCATTTCAGGCTATATGAGAGTCCATATTGGCTGTTTCTTAAGATAGGGTGATGAACATGTTGTTTTCTGTGGCAGAACTGCTACATTTGTGGATGGAGAGCAACTGATGTTTATTTTGACTTCAGCAAGGTATTTGATACTGCCTCCCACAATATTATTGTACTAAGCTGTCTTGATTTCAGCTGGGACTGAACTGTTTTCTTCAGAGTGTTTGGTATGATGCTCTGTTTTGGTTATAGGAGAAAAACAATGTTGATAACACACCGATGTTTATAATTTGTGATAAGCAGTTTTGTACAGAGCCAAGGTTATTCTCAGCAAAGGGCCTAAGGAGCTGGGAGAGAACAGAATTAGGACAGCTCACTTAAATTGGCCAAAGGGATGTTCCATACCATATGATGTCAAGTGGAAGGATTTTTCAAGAGAGTGTGAGTTTGTCTCGCTCTTTCCTACTGCTTGGGGGATAGCTGAGCACTGGTCAGGGGATGGTGAGCAATTATTTGTGCATCACTTGTTATATGCATTCATATATATATGTAGTCATAACTGTTTTCCTTTCCTTATCTTAGTAAATAGATTTAAGTCATGAGTTCTACTTTTTTTTTCCTCTCCTCCATCCCACTGGGAAGAGGAGGAAGTGAACAAACTTCTGCATGTTGCTTAGACACTTGCTGGGTTAAACTGCAGCAATAGCTCATAATGGTCTGGATGAATTGACTAGTTGGATAAAAGGTAGTTTGGATGATCAGATTTAAAGAGTAGTCAATAGTTGGGCTTTGCCTGTAACCTAGTAACAATTGTACCACTGCAGTGATCTGTCTTGAGACAGATCTGGAAGAGGCGATGGAGCGAATGGAGTTCTTGTCTGTGGGGTTAGGAGGTGTCTCCCCAGTTTGGTGTCCAGCTGACACACTTGAGGACAGGGCTGGATTTGGAGGACGTAGATAAGCTTGCAGGAGGAGGCCAACAGGAGCCTTATAAATGTCAACAAAGACAAATGCAGTGCCCTGTCCCTGGAGGGGAAGAATCCCATGCAGCAGTACAGGCTGGCAAGCAACTTGGTGAAAAGAGACCTGTATGCTTTTGTAGGCAGCAAACAAAACATGAGCAGGCAGTGTATCCTGGCTGTAGGGAAGGCCAATAGCATCCTGGGCTTTGTTAACAGGAGAAGCCTGTAGATTGAGAGAGATGATAATCATTCTCTGTTCAGCACTTTTGATCACACCTAGGACTCTGTGTCCAACTTTGGGGCTGCTAGTACAGTAAAGACAATGATTAACTGGAGTGAATTCAGAAGAGGGCCACCAAGATGGCAAGGCATATATCTCAACAGCAGGAATTTGATCTTGTTCACCTTGGAGAAGAGGAGGCTTAGACCTAACAACAGCTTTCTGATACTTATTAGGAGTATAAGAGCAGTGCTTGGTAGGAGGATAAGAGAACATACACGAGTTGAAACAGGGTTCAGATTGAGCATAATCTTTTCACCCTGAAAGTAATCAAGTAGTGGAGCAGGCTGCCCAAAGAGACAGTGCAGTCTCCATCCCTGGAGATTTTCAAGACCTGACAGGATAGAGCCCTAGGCAGCCTGTGCTGTCTTTGCAGTTGACCTTGCTTTGAGTGGGATGCTAGATCACAAATGTCCTGAGCTACTGTGTGATCCTGAGAGCCTATAGAACCCCACAGCTCTGTGTTAGTGCTAAATATCTCATACTGCTTAATGTTATTTAACTTCATCTGTGGCTCTCGGTTTGAATTTTGCTAGACTGTAAAATGCATTTGTAAAGGAGGGATGCTGTTAAGAAGACTCAAGTCTGACTTTATCAGACATGAGTTAAAATTCTCCATGTACATGCAGTCAAATTCAGCCTTCATTAAGAAATGATATTTTTAAACTAGTGTAGCAAATTGCAGTTGATGCTTCTTTAACAGTTGTGGGTTTTTGCTAAAAGTAGTCTGTGCAAATATTATGACTTGGTTGTCTTAGAAATATCAAATGTTTATGGTTCCCACTTTTTTTTTTCTTTTTCTGTAAATTCCCTATTTTATATACTCAACCTCTTTTTAAATCTCACACTGACATATCTTCATTAGGGGAACTTTCCTCTTTGGAGCATAGTCAGCTAGCTAATGCTATTCCAACCAAATCAAGTGTGTGCTGACCACCCGCAGCTCTGTCTTCTCATGACCCCTCACTTCAGGAACTGCTCTCACTAAATAGAATGAAAATAATCACTAAATAAAAGGGCCTTTCAAAATGGCAGAACTTAAAGCAGATTCTTATAGCTTGAAATCTTCAAGACTTCCTTACATTATGCACTATTATTTCTATACCACAGACAAATTAGCTACTCAGGATAATTACCTTCACATTATTACTTCATGTTCTTTAAGTTGTGGTTCTGCAGATATTTTTCTCAGCATCAAACAAAGCCAGCTTTTAGTGTTTTCTTCTCTCTGGCTCGTTCCTCACTCATCTCTCAGTTGAGAGAGGAGAACCTGTCCTATGAAACAGCCTCAGTTACAAATAAGCCTGCCAAAACCACAGTTTAGAACAGATCAGTTCCCTGATCTGATTTGCTATGGGATCTCACCGATAATTTCAACAATACAGCTTGAGAGGGTTGGAAACAGGTTCTTAACTTCAAATCCCAAATTTGTTGAAGTGGATGAGCAGAAATGTAAACCAGTATGTTAGCTTCCAGGTAAATAATTCCTAATTTAGAATAAATGAATAATTGTCTTTTTTTTTTCCTCTTTCAGTATTTCACCTTCTTACAAGAGCCTACCATCAGTATCAGAGACCTTTCCAACCCTGAGAACGATGATTGAAGTGCTAAATACAGACTCCTCTCAGTGTCTAAAAAAAACTGTTGTTGTGGTGTAATTTATATAAATAAAAAGCCAAAATATACTGCTTCTTAATTTATTTTAAAAGGGAAAACATGTTCAAACTGGGTTTATTACTTATGGTTTTTCTGGTAAATAGAGTATGTGAACTTATTTGAGTAAATATCACTACAAAAAGAAATCTTTGTGACCAGTAGAATTAAAAAGAGAGAAAAAAAGAAAAAAAAAGGTAGAATAGTTAACTACTTGTATTCTGACATACCCTAGCAGGGAATACAGCTGTCCAGGGGCCAAAATGAAGAGCAATAAGAAATTCCCATTTCAGTTATGTTCTAGACATTCTGCAGGTGAAGATTTTACTTTAAAAAGAAAAATTAAAGTGCATTGAAAATCCCATGATGCAACTTCCATTTATTCTTTTTTCCAAAGCCTCTGCTTTTTGAATGGAAAACTTCAAGCCATACATGTGTGAGTAATTGGTAAATACACAGACACTTCATGTAATGTAATCCAGGGAAGGAACAGATGTCAGCTTAAAAGAACAGCGATCATGAGAAGATAATTTGGAAATAAAACCAAACAAATGACGTATCCAGGGTTAGCTTCTCAGTGAGTAAATGTCAGAAACACAACAATACGTGAGGTTTTCCTTTCTGCTGCTGGTGATGATTGGCAAAAGATCCCAACAGATTGACAGCATTGTAGAACAGCTGTCTGGTGTGGGTATGGTGCCTGCTGCACCTGCATGTGTGTGTAGAGGTGTTCCAAAGGGTGGTTCTCTGGGCAGTACGTGTGACTAAGAAAGTGAGCCCGAGTCAAACAATGCTCTCAAACAAGTTTAACAAACAGAGCAGGATTATATAACTGGACTGGTATGTAGTGACTGGGAGAGCTGTAATTACCTCCTAAGAACTAGAGATGTGGAGAAATTTAATTACAGTTTTCCATCCCCTTCTGTGTCATCAGACAACTGGTCCAGCCGTTTCATTTGAGCTCTTAAGTATAGGCTGTAGGCCCAGCTGTTTATCTATTCGTACTAGAGAAAGCGTGAAGGGAAAAAATAGACTAAGTAATTAAAACCTATTGATCTCCTAATATTTGTGATATTTCAGAATACAGTGTGAAAATCATAAAAAGGCTTGGTGCAATGGGTAAGGACAGAAGATAGAACCAATTTAGCCTCAGGCAAATGCAATGCAAGGTCTGTCTGTAATTACAGTACTAGGACAAACAGATTGAGAGGAAAGAACTAAGGTTGCAGAGAGCTGCGCTCGTGCTGCAAGTTCATCATAGTGCTGGCAACGGAAGATCGCGGCAGTTGGGTAATGAACTTTTCAAGATGCTGGTTTTGCACTGCTCTCTTGTTCTGCCTTATAAACTCAGGAGCTGTAGTTGTCGGAAACCACTCTTTATGTTAAGGAAGAGGCCGGCGGGGTGCGGGAACTCGGATGGTAGGTGACAATTCCTGGCTTCCTTCCTCTCCTCCACGAGGAGCTGCCCGGGGTAACGAGTAGAGCTGTGAGGGAAGAGTGCAGCTCCGAGCGCAGGGAAGGAGCGCCCGCGGGTCGCCGCTCGGCCGGCCGGGAGGAGCCCGGCAGGGAGCGGCCGCGAGGGGCAGCGAGGAGGGCGCCGGGCGCCGGGAGGGGCTGCCGCGGGCGCTGGGCGTGCGGGAGGCGGGGAGGGGGCGGCGGCCGCCTTTATAGGGAGCGAGGGGAGGCGGCGTCTGCAGCAGCGGAGCGGGGAAGGGACGGGAGGAGGAGGCGGAGGAGGCGGATCCCGCTCCCGCTCCGCCGTACAGCGCGGCCGGTTCGGTGCGCGCGGAGCCGGCGCCGGCCGGGCGGCCATGGCCTCGATGGCGGCGGCGATCGCCGCCTCCCGCACGGCGGTGATGAACGGCAACCGGCCGCTGGACGAGCGGGAGCGCAAGCGGTTCAGCTACTTCTCCTCGCTCAGCCCCATGGCGCGCAAGATCATGGCGGAGAAGGAGCGGATCCGCGAGCGCTACGGGCCCGAGTGGGAGCGGCTGCCGCCCCGCCAGCAGGACGAGATCATCGACAAGTGCCTGGTGGAGCCGCACGTCCAGGCCCGCTACGCCGCGCACCGCGGCACCGCCCGCCCGCCCGCGGCGCCCGCCTCCTACCCCAGCCTGCGCCTCAACACGGGCCAGAAGGTGGTGCGCTTCGGCGACGAGGTACCGAGCGGAGCCGCACCCCGCGCGCGGCGTCCGACCGCGCTGAGTGGGCGCGGCCCGTCGGTTCCCTGAGGGGCTCCGCCATGGCGGGGCCTGCGGGAGGGGAGGGCGAGCGGCGGGGCCGAGCGGGCGGTGGGTCCTGCTGGTCGGCTAACCGGGCTCGGTAGCGCGTCTCGGTTGCGCGGAGGAACCTTGCGGTTCCTGACGGCCGGGGGTTGCCCCGGCGATGGATGGAGAGCGTGTGCGAGAGGGCGGCGTGTTGCGCTGCGTTCGGTGAAACCGTAAAAACGGGAAAGGCGGCGTACCGAGGCGTGCCTGCGAGAAGCAGGACGGATCCCGATGTGGGTTTCCTAAAGCTGAGGCTCAGTGAGGAGGCCGCTGTCAGCGCTCCCAGAAGTTCTCCAGAGCTGAAGGCGGCGGCACGGACCGCACGGAATGTTTACCCCGAGTTAAACCTCTTCCTTTCTGCTCCTAATTTCAGGCTCTGCTAAAAATAAAACGTTGAAGACGTTCCAGCTGTTGGTATTTTTGACGCCTTAAAGTAAATAAATAAATAAGCACAGTCTTTCCCATGTTACCTGCCAAGAAAAACAAGGGCGTGGAAAGAGTAGATGACAAAAAATACATAGATGTTAGAGCTTCTGAGGTCCCCTGTCTAGTGGAGAAGGGCAGCAGTCGTTCCAGGAGAACATAAGTGTGAGGGTGCCTGCGTGGAATCGTCCCATTGCCAAACCTCCTGTGAGTCTGAGGAGACCTGACAGTGCTCCTGACTCCCTCTTTCCATGTGTGAGATTTCCTTTGTTTCATTTTGCTTAGTGTGCTTGTTTTTGTTTTTTTGTTTGTTTTTTGTTTTTTGTTTTGTTTTTTAGCATGATTTCAGAGCCAATATCTTTCATTCTCTTAATGTAATTTCTTAAAGCAACCCGTTTTTAATTAACTTACGTGACTACCATCAGAACAAAACAATCTGCTTCTGTGCTTCTAGCCATCAATCCAGTTTAAATTGAGCAATGCTTTTTGTAGCTGGCTCGCCAGAATCCCTGCAATGGGATTTGTAAGAGGTGTGTGAAGCATCGAGGCTCCTGTCTGGCTTTGTGGCAGAAGGCTGCTGCTTGTGCTGCCTGTGGCAGAAAGGTATGGCACCTTGGTATGGTATAGAAAGGTATGCTGCACACACATCATATCTAGAGTCTTGCAAGGTATGCTCAAGCTTAGTTTTATGTAGTCAGGAGGTCTGTGTGTTTTCTGGTAATAGGCCGTCACTGCTGGTGAAAAGGAGTGTAAAGACACAGAGAAATCTTATTGTATGAGCAGTCCTTGAAACCTAAACTTGAAGTTATTTTTGAAAGGATTTAGGTGAATGACTGTGGAAACAGTTCAGCGTTCCTGGTCTCAGACAGCTCTGCTGGGCTTTCTGCTTTGAATTATGTGGATCCAGAAGGGACGAAGGCATGTTGTAGGTGGTTGTGCTGCACCATATGGAAACAATCATTTTCTGTTCATCCGAATTACAGCTAGAGCGTCCATCTGAAACTTTTGCACGCCATTGTCTTTTTCCTTCTCCCCCAAAATGCAGCTGTAATACAGTGTTGTTCTTAGCTGTTGTGCAGCCACTAACCAACAAAAGCACGGTCCATCAAAATATGAAGTGTTTAATTTTGGAAGCATCTGCCTCAACTGACTTCCTCCTTGACTTCCAAGCTGAAGTAATGTAAAATGCTTTTTGAAGAAAAGAGGTTCCACTTGTTTTGGCATTCTGCATTTCCATTTTAATTCTTCCAATTGCACTGTTGAGCCTTGGAGCTTTTCCTGGCACCTCATCTGATAGCTTCCTCTCCCTCTGCTCCCTCTCTGGCATTCAGCCTGATTCTTGGACATCTGCCCTGGCTCGCTAATCTCTCCCTCCTTGTCCTGCCATTACAGAGCCACTGCAGCCAGTCTTGCCATTTCGGTTCAACTTTCCAGGCTTGCAAACGCTTTGCCTACAGAGGTTTGCTACCATGCTGCCTTTAGAACTGACAGTTTATTGAGCTGTACTACTGCTGCCTGTGTAAGATGTAGCTGCTCCACTTAGCGCAGTCACCTGGCATGGTTAGATTCGTCCTGGCAAGGATGCTGAGAACAGCCTACATAAGCCTGCATACCCCCAGATCTCTAATTGATATTGCAGCCCTTACAGTGTGAGCATGCTGTCCTGGCAGTGTTCTTGTTGACACCTGCTACTTAAGCATCACATTTGCAGCTAGAGAAGCACAGCTCAGCTTCCATGTTAGCTGATGCTGAAATCTGTAGCCATCTACCTGTGCTTGCTTAAGCACAGAAAGTTCATGTCTTTCTCTTCATGTTCTGTAGAGGACCTGGGAGAAGGCAGAATAAGGATGAATGCTGAACATACTGATTCATCCAGAGCCCTCACCACTTCCTTTTCATTTTAAGGTGTGTGGCCGTTTTGATAAGCTGATACAGAGCGTATATTTAGTAGTCCTACATCTCTGGACAGGTGGTTCTCTCTTTCTTTTCCCACTTTTTTCCCATTTATCTTCTTACACCAAACTGATTTGCTGAACTTTTTGTGCAGGATTGCAAGTTCTCATAGTATAAGCACTTCTCAAAACATTTTTCAGAATGTTACCTGCATGGGAAGGCTGTGACAGAAAATATATATGCAGTAACAGGACCACAGCATGCTGCAGCCACAATCTGGTCATATAGTGCCAGAGCGTTGCAGCACCACGTGTGACTCCTGGCAAATGTCTCGAGTCACCAAGGACTTTTGGACTCTGCAACCTTCAAGAAGAGCTTTGTGTTTCTTAACAAGGCTCCAGGTAGGAGTACAGACAGGGAGAAGAACTCACAGAGCAGCCCTGCAGAGA